GGATTTCTATCTGCTGTATTTGTCGAGGGAAGGTGTGAGAAATTTTTTTTAAAATTATAATGGGTCGAACTGGGCTTGGATTATATTTTTATAAATCATATTGGGCTAGGCTTGGGGAAATTTTTCAAAATTATTATAAGCTTGGATGTTTGGGAATTTTTTTATTATTAACTATGGATCAGACATTGGCCTAAAACAAATTTTTTTGCAGGCCCTGGGCTCGGCTTGATCAAAAAACCAAGGACCATAAAATCTGATTTTGATTGTATTTTTAAATTCATTATGATTTTTTAAATATTTTATTCCAGTTCTCAAATACCAGAATTATTATGATTTTTGGTTGTGCTTGAGAAAATTTTTTTAAAATTAATATGGCCTTGGACTTTGCTTGGGAATTTTTTTAATATTAAATATTAGGCATAATATTTTAACAAATAATATTGATATAGGTATCAAGTATAAGCTTTAAATATATTTGGACTCAAAACATAATTTACGCTTAGTTTTAATGGATTGAACCTGTCCTGAAGGAGGGAGGGTGCTATAACGAATAAAAATTGGATATTATTTTCAAATAACAGGTAACAACTATTATAAAAGTAAGGAGAAAATTCTCATTCCCCGTCATTTTGACGGGCTCAGCAATGCTGATAACGGGAGCTCTGGTATCTTAGTTATTATATTTTTCATTTTGCCCATCAAGAAAGAGGGGTCATCATACTTTTCTCCCTTATTTGTTGATAGATGAACCAGAAATTAAGAATATCTTATGAGGTGTACCTCTTTTTCTCCTAAATACCATATACAAACTAACTAATTACCTCTCAACCCCGTCATTCTTGACAGGTTATTAGCTAGTTAAAATATAAAACCCTTGATAAAAAAAAATAATAGCGGAATTTCAAATAATCACATTAAAATAAATTTTAAAAGATATTAACTATTCTATACTGTCTATATAATATATAATATCTAATGATTTTTACTTTATATCTATTATAATAATCATAATATTTTAAAAAGCCTATGAAATACAACAATCTAAAATAAATTATTAATAGAATACTTATTCTTATATTATATATAATAATAAATATTACAATCAAGTATCTTTTAAATTAGAACTTGAGATTTTGAAACTGATATTATAATTTTTGAACACGTCTAACATTTATCTTGTGAGAATAGAATTAGTTTACTGAATATATGTTACTGTAAAGTATTTATTATATTTTGGCCATTGTATAATGTTAATCAATCTGATTCTGAATTTTCATAATCAGATGATGAAGTAACAACATCTATAATTATGCTAATCTATAAAATATAATTAATAATATTGAAATTAATAACAGGACAGTAATAGTAGCTGGCTAAGAAAATTCAAATGTGAGAAAGGAAATTGCTGATTAAAAAATAACCCTTTTTTCTTAAAAAATTCAGATTTATATATTTTATTTTCTAACGAATCTAAAATTGAACGAACATAAAAACAAACGCGTATGTCAATAAATAGGAAGACGTTCACGCTCAAAGTTCGTCAAAAATAAATGGAACATCGTTTGCCATTTTTTTTCTAAAAAACGAATTTTTGAAGGCGTTCGTTTACAATATTATTTAAAATAGATTTGTTAACGAACATAATAACGGATATCTTTTATTCAAAATGGTTGTCAAATATTTTTTCAATTGTAACCTAATTTTTTTTTTGTTTCAAAATTATGTAACAAATTTTTTTTGAATTAAAATAGCTATAGGGCCTTGAAATTGAATATGAATATAATATTAATTTATTTTTTTCCAGCAATATTATTATATAATCTAATCTTTTAATTTTTATTTAATTAACAAAAAAACAATATAGAGGGATGATAGATAATATAGTTATCAAATTTTATGATATATCTATTCAATCTTCTATATATATTATGCCTTTTTACTATGTAAAGAATTATTTATAAGATTCTTCCCACTATCTTTATTGTTTTATATTTGCAATACAGAGCGTTGTAAAATGTTACTTACAGTTTTATAAGTTACTATATTCTCATAGAAATACTTCTTTTTTAAACATAACTAGTTACAGTTATATTTCAAATGTAACTATTTACTTATAAGTAGTGAATGGCTCGAAAAATTAGAATCCCTAGACTAAACAACCATGAAGGGCTTGATTAATGGAACTAAATATTATATTTATTAAACCTTAATTTTATATTTTGAAAAATCGTCATATAAGGATAATTGATATAAATACTTCACATATTTTAAAAAATAGCTACTTTTGTCTTTGCATTCAATAAAATGGCAGAGATTTTGAAAAAATAGTTACCTTAACATTATTAATACAAGAGGTTTCCAACTCATAAATAGTTCAAATATACATATTAACATTTAGAAACTAAAAAATGATATAAAATACAGAATTATATTAGGAGGGGGGGGGGTTACACATTATGAAAAACATAATTGAATCCCTAAAAACGCGCAGTAATTATATTTAAATATTTCAATTTGAATTTTTTGTCTTAAGACTTGGCCTCAATGTGTGATTTCGTATTTTAAGGAAAATTTTTTAAAAAAGGAAGAGGCAAAATGTCCACTAGTGGAAGTGTCAATGTTATCCAATGTTTTCTATTTGTTTATCTTTTTTGTTTCGGCTTGAGTGAGTGTGTTGCTATTGATATTTTTGGGGAAAGTGCTAACACAGGTATAATCCTAGATGAGAGATTTACCCATAGCCCATGGGATAGTTGTGAGGCCTTTATCTAGGGATGTAAATTTCCCGGGAAACTATATTTCGGGGAAATTTCCCGGGAAATTTGGGGAAAAACGGGAAATAATGGGAAATTACGGGAAAAAACGGGAAACTATCTTTTTTATAATACTTTACAGGTCAATATTGATTTTTTTTTATGTTTTATTGAAAATATATAGATTATAAACATAATTAAACAAATATAAATTATTTTCAACTAATTTGCAATTACTTAACATGTTTTATTTGAAATATTATATATAGACTAAATAATATTTAAACAATTAATTTTGAATAGTTAATTATCTTCGTTTGAAGATGAAAATGATTCCAGATCAGAGCTTGAAATTCTGGAATCCAGCAATTTGTCATTTTCAGAAATTTCCTTTCCCATAAAATGTAGATTGGCTCTTATATAAACTAATTTGCGAACTTTGTCATTTTTTATTCTATTTCTAGATTTAGAATGAATATTTCCAAAGGAGGACCATATTCTTTCGGATGCTCCACTTGTTGGTGGTACTGATAAAATTCGTATGGCTAGGGTCGATATGTATTGATTGCAACAGAGACCTAATAAAATATTGAATAACACAATTTTAAGATTAGAAAAAGAGTTAAGTTATTGTTTACAGAAATATAAAAGTATTTTACCTTTCCACCAACTCACTGGATCTGTAAATGATGCGCCTTGCCAAAGACTTGCTATATTAAAAAAATCTTCCCTTGCACGATATTTGGATAGGTTTCCTATTACTCTTGCAATATCCAAATCTAGATATCCAGAAAATCGGTTAATAATATCCAACTCCTTTGCAACTTCATTGTCTCTTAAATTAAATCCGCAAAACCTTGGGTCAAATATATGAGCAGCATAATGAATGTCCCGACAACAAAAATGTTTTCGGCTTTTGATAAACTGCTCTATTTCTAAAATCTCGCTCTGCGACAATATATTTGATATTGTTTTATAAGCGTTAAATGTCTCCCTGATATGAATAAACGCTTGGGACATCAGATAAATTGACTTTATCTCCTTCTACTATCTCTATTTGCGTAAATATGACTTTAATATAATTATATAGTTGCATTAGATCATTTAAAAACCCATCGTTATCAAGAAGAATAAGTCTCTTATCTCGATCAGTAAATATATCAAGAATAGCCATTTCCTGTAAAATATCTTTATTTTTTAACAAGCTATTTATCATCAAAACTATAACTGCTTAACGAGTTGGGCTAGGCAACTTTAGGGAAACAATTTTTCTCTATTAACATTTAAAATTTCATATATTATTTATAAATTTCATTGGTATTTATTTATAATATAAATATACTTTTCAGACTAGCTATTTAATTTTAACAAGTATCTTCTAAAATTTTGCAAATGTAAATAGGGAAATTGACATAATTCAAAAACAAAACACAATTATAATTTATGATATGAACCACGAGGAAAAAATGATTTTATAAAATCTAATAAAAATCGTATTTATTTTATCATTAGATCATTTTCAAAATTGGGAAACTGTTAATATTATAAAAATCATGTTGATTTAGGCAAAAAAACCTATTATAAAAATTGGGGAAACTATAGGGGAAATTTCCTCTGTCTTACATCCCTACCATTATCTGAATAAGAGGTAGTGAGGTTCTTAAATATTAGGGACTCGAGATTTTTTTAGGAATAGACTGAGATGTTTATTTATTGATGAATAACACTGTTGACAACCCTGGCTTTTAATAACGTTCACTCTTGGCATTAACTGGTAAGTTACAACTCAGGCAACTATGAGGTTCATAGCCAAGTCTATGACATAGGTTAACTCTTAGTTGTTCATTAGTTAAGAGATTTCCTAAATTTTTGCTAGGCAAAGCTTAAAACCACTCATGTCCGCCTAATTTATCATTATTTTTTAGTCCTTTAAACAGGTGAAATCTCGAAGTTTTCGTAATATTTTTCTGGATAAAATATTGAGTTAACCCTTTTTAAAAATTATCATTAGGCACGCCTGAAGATTTTGGTCATAGATGGCACAAAGGTTTGGACATCTATTAGCGAAATCTCGAGACTTAGGCAATATTTTTCTGGCGAAAATATTAACTTAACCGTTTTTAAAGATCGGCTCAAATTGAGTCGTTTAACAACTTGATACTTTTTACATGGGAAAATCTTAATTATGATATGCATTGAATCATCTGAAATAAAATATTTGGTTTATGTATTTATTTAAAAAAAAAGAATGAAAACGAGATTGGAATACATCAATACTACCATATGGAAATACCGAAATCGATATCGGTGTTGCGATGGATGGACGGGTTTGGAGAATTCGAACTGCACTATTCGTAAAAAATTTAGATATTTATATATAACAATATGAATAAAAAATTCAAAGTGAAAATAAATCTAACTATTATTTTACCCCCCCCCCCCACCCGAAAGAAGATCTAGATATAATTTACCATATTAGACCCTCTCCAATCCATTTCTTTGGGTTATTATTGCGACTTTAAATTATAAGAGGCTTAGTTCTTATAAACAATTCTAATATAGGCCCATCCTTTCTCTTTGTTAAAAATATAATAAATCGTGATAGTGGGGATAGTTCTTTACTTCCGCCCTTGATTCTATCAAGTTATTTTAAGAATTGCCGAAAGGGCTTAATACATAAAATTGACTTTTTTTTTAACCCCCGCAAATATACCTTGCATTTCCCACCTTTCTTCCACTCCTGCTATTCACCTCATCTCCAATTCAGTGAATATTTATTTTTTTCCAGAAGGATCCGATAAGGCTATATCCTGGGCTCGATACTTTTCTGCATAGGCATCAATTAAATGATCAAAAACATTTCTACCGAATGCCCCCTCCATACCTGATACATAGATGGTATGAGGTCGCCGAAGCACAATCCTTCATAAAAACCCATTCACAAATACTAGGTTTTGCTCAACGAGCATAAAACTAATATCTATTAAATATATAGGTTTATCAGACAGCCATAATTTTTATTCATACCTCATTTTGGCTCCCCACTTGGCGAATCAGAGTCTAGAAATAACTTCATCTTTAATGCTTTATTTCTTTCCAATTTAAAACATGCTCAAATATACTCCTCACCAACCTTTTCCTTCTTAAAAGCTTCCCCACCTACTACCATTTTCAAATTTCTTGATTTATTAAAATAATCGAAATTTCCTTCAAATCTTAAGCAGAAGAGATCCGTAATTTCCGCTTTAATTATAAGTCATGGCTACAAGTATAACTTCCTTGCATACTCCGGGGCATCGGTTTATGATAACCCCGAATCTTTCTATCAGCAAGTTCATCGCCTACCTTCTTTCAGTCTACATTCTTCCTCACCTCTTGAATCCCAGAAACAACCTTCCCCGTGTATACAGTAAGGCTGTTATCGCTCAATTATACCTAAAATTAAGTTTTCATGATGATGAACATACAGTTTTTTTAACCTTTTTACCACGTGAACCAAGGATCTTATTACGAGTTTCTCGAGACTATATCATTTAAAAATCTCGATTTGCTCCTCCATACAAATAAGTTAAGATTTGCTATTGGATACGGCTTAACTGCGAAATTGTTTAGCCTTACCATTGCAAACACTGTCAAACCAGTGTCATTGACAGCAAGGGGAGACATTGCTTCCACTGCCTATTTTGCTTAGGCCATTTCCCACGACACACCAAATGCAACGACTTTATTTTTGCAAGCACTTAATGTCCTCCATTTCTTAGTTAAGGAGCCAACTTCTGGACTGGAACTTCACCTGCATTGATGCAAATGTCCCATCCAACTATTACATAGTTTCCCTCGCACTTGCCGAAGGAAAATCACCAATTACCATTTCTTAAGCATTCATGCCCATCGCCTTTACTCTAGCCTCTTTCGGTAGCAAATCTTAAATTTTTTTTAAAGAATGAAGGAAACAAGGCTCGCTAAAATACTAAGAGCCCAAAGAATTTCTTTTTAACGATAAAGGATTGCTATCACAATTACTTAACCTTTAACCTTTCTATTGAATAATCTTCCATTCTTCATCATCCAACAATACCTTATTCTCTTCCTTAGACACTTTTTGCTACTTTCCTCGATATTTTCTTATTCTATTCCTTTTCTCTCCTTAATTATAGTTTTACACTTAACGCTTCCATTAATTTAATGCTTTAAAAAATTTATATTATTATACAACATATTGGTAACATTTACTCAAAAAGAAATAATTGCACCGAGATAATAAATAGTTTTAAATCATGTTTAGATATAAAGATCCAAAATTTTGAAAAAATTAATAATATTAGTTCTGTGTATATTGCAGGCCCTAACCCGGTATTTTTGGGTTTGGTCATAAAATTTCTACCTCTGCAGGTCTCTGATAAATAAGTATAAGAAAGATTGTTAGAATCTTATTCAATAATCAATTTGGGGGGAGGGGCAGTCCTTATTTTCTAATTCGATTTTTAAACGGAAAGGTTTGGTGATTTTGTTACCTTTTCATGACAGTAAATTTTTTAACACTGTTAAAATATGAGTAATAATTTTTTTATTATTAATTTTATTCTATTTTACGAAAATTTGGATGATATTTTGTTAAGAAATAACCATTTAAAAGACAAACGTTTCTCTTTAAAACAATATTTGAATGATTATTTTTTCACACCCTAATTTACGAATTTTGATTTTTTTTATTTGAAATCAGCTGTTTGTAATCCAGAATGCTTATTCGGGCAATGTATTAAACCTTACGAATGCGAGTGCTTGGACGGATGGATGGTAAATATCTTTTTGATGATTCACATATAAATTGAAAAGTGTATACTTAAAAAAAAAGTTTTCCCCACATCTTGGGCTTTAGAGTTATGTTGATAAAATAACACTTTGATCAGATAGAATAATACCATGCGTCAAATAATTAATCGCACATAATCACTTCACTTTAAAAATTAAAACTTTTTTGATTGCATATATTATATTTAAAATTAATAAATACTAAACCGACCTTACTATTTAGTTTTTTGAATCTAATAATTTCTCTTTCTCAATGAAAAATATAGGTTGTGGGTTTTTTTTAATCCATAAATCACAATTTACATTACTTCGAAATTTCGTTCATAAAACTCAACATTATTGTACATGTGCATTTGTGATAGCCATTTTTTTCCTGGGAATAATTACTTGAAAATCTGTCTGGAATTTCGATTTTAATGACTACTATATTTTTTTTAAAAATAGGGAAGCATATGCGGAGATAAATGTAATGGCGGTAAATACGGCAAAAAATGTTCCGAAACCTGTAATTGCGGAAATGGTTCGGTTACTTGTCATCACGTCACGGGAGAATGTCAATGCGCGCCTGGATTTACGGGAGAAAGGTTTTTTTTTGAATATTTAAATTTATTTTGATAAATTATGATATCATTTTGCGTCTTTTTGATTTGAGTATAGAATTAAATAATAGTAAATCAAACATTTACAACTATTTAAAGGAAACTAATAAATTTGTATTTTAAAATAACTTTATGTTAGGTTTCCCTATCATTTATCATTAATACTTCTTTCAAAACCATTTATAAAATGTAGGATTATTAATTTTTTTTAATCATGTGGTCTTATAATTATAGAAAAGAGGAAAATATAGTTTAAAAAAATTTACTATATTTTACGGTATTCCCGCACAATTGTATATAAAAATTATTAAAACAAAAATTAGGTGTCAGTCCATATGCTCCCCCGGCAGATACGGTTTTGGCTGCTCGGAATCATGTAACTGTTTATCCCATTCTCAATGCAGAGCTTCTGATGGCTTTTGTGATTGCTCCCAAACTGTTCTTAAACCTCACGCCGATATTAGTACCACATTTAATGATTCAAACAATTTAAATGAACAGTATACCAAAATTCCCGAGCCATTTTATTACGACGCTCTCGGATTTTTTACAGGAGCTTACTGTAAAGATCTCTGTGTACCGGATTATAACTGCACAAAACTTTGCGATTGCGAATTACGTAATGGGGACTGCAACATTTATACCGGAAAATGCATGTTTGGAATTTGATTTTTTTATAATTAACCACTAATTTACTTTTATAAAAAAAAATAGTTGTAAACCAGGATTTTTTGGCAAAAGATGCCAATCCATGTGTGCCAAAGGCACTTTCGGTCCAGATTGTATAGGTAGGTGTTTGTGCCAAAACAATTCCACCTGTGATTCCATTACAGGGAGCTGTAGATGCTTGCCAGGATGGAGTGGAGAACAGTAATGAATTACAATTCATTCTATTAGTCAATTTCTAAGTTCTTTTAAAGAATTTAAGATATATTAATGAATGTAGAGCTTAATTTCATCTTAAGATCAGTAAGAAAGAAAGAGATTTACTACTATTCTAATTTTCATAAAAAAACTTTTATAACTTTTTCTAAAGCTGCCAAAACGCTTGTCAGAAAGGACGATTCGGTCCCGGATGCAACTCGCAATGCTCTTGCTCTCATTTCACTTCCTGTGACACCATAAATGGCTCTTGCACTTGTTTAGATGGTTGGACTGGTTTGCACTGTGATAGACCCTGTCCCTTAGGCTGGTTTGGGGCGGGATGCGGCAAAACTTGCGATTGTGGAACTTCTTGGATTAATACAACAATGAACTACCATAGGCATGGGCACCATTATACACTGGAAAGTAAACTTGTTGATGATATAGACAAGGAAACGAAAAACGACGTAGATATGGATATAAACAGAGGGGATTATGATAATTATTTGGAGGTTTTTAATCGTACCTTGTTACTCGTTGCTGGGTCTTTAAAAAGTGATGATTCTAATGCCGAAGAAAAGACGCAAAGCCAAACAAGTAATATTTTTATGTTATGCTATTTTTAATGTTAACGATTAATTTTATAAATATCACAAATTTTCAATTGTAAATGTGACATCACTACGATATTCTTTATTAATTGTACAGTTTTTTATTATATTACTTTAAAAATAAAATTTAATGGTATAATTTTTTTTAATTTGCTCTTTGTTGTGCAATAAAAAATACCCTTAAAACCTCATATTTTTCTTCTTAAATAGAACAGCGTCTAATTCTTTATGGAAATATTTTTAATGATGTTAATATTAATTACCATTTTCCTTTAAAATTTATTTTCTTTCAGATCTGTCCCGAAACTCCACCACATCGTCAATTAATAACCTTAACCATTTTCCTAAAGGCCTTTGCGATCCGGTTGATGGCCGATGTAACTGTCCACCAGGCCGGACTGGCCCTAGATGTGAACGAGGATGCGGTCTGCTTAGGTTTGGTCCGGACTGCAGCTTAACCTGCGATTGTGAGCATGCCACTAAATGCGATCCCATTACCGGGAAATGCTCAGCTTGTCAAGAAGGCTGGCATGGGGAACGTTGTCAAATAGGTTTTTTTTAAAATAAGCGTGAAAGAAAAAAAGATAGGTATCAATAGAAAGAAATTATTTGTAAGAGGAGTAGAAATAAAATGTTAAAAATTCTAAAATCATGCAAACTACGTGAGAATAATTAAAAATAAAAATAAATTATGCTGATATCGAATATCTTAATTTAAAAAAAATTTATTACATAAAATAATGTTTTGTTTTTGTGTGCCCATAATATAATCAGTAGCCTCGCTGAGGTGGGTGGCATACCTAAATTTATTTAAGCAGCCACTAAATAATAAGAGCTATAGATAATAGATATCACTAATTACAACATACCTGATTGAAGATAAAGTTTAAGTAATCGTGTGTGATATTTATAAAATATTTGCTCGATACAATGTCATCGTTTTATTTTCACTTTTTTTTATTATCTCAAATCAAAGCGTGCATCAAAGGTTACTACGGCCCTAATTGCGAGACTAAATGCGATTGCGTTGGAGCCGAAACGTGTCATCCCATAACTGGAACTTGCATATGCCCAGCTGGCAAAACGGGGAACAATTGTAGCGAAGGTAAAAATTAGTTAAATTCTGTAGGGGTTATGGTTAGATTTGATATAGGGTTAACACCCCCCCCCACCCCTCCACACACTTATTATTATTATGTAAATCTTGAAAACAACCTATTAAAAAACAATTTTTCATAATAAATGAGAAAAAAACGGAATCTATATTAAAAATATAAAAGGCAGACGATGGATTCATTCATTAAAGAAAATGTACAAAAATTATATAATAAAATATCTAAATAATCAATCTAGCTTCTTACAAAAATAATTATTAAAAGATATTATTTCCAATTTTATTCATATCTTTTCTCCCAATTTTTTTAATCAACAATTAGATTGTCCAACTGGATGGTACGGCGTTTTTTGTCAACATGGATGCGCTTGCCCTTCAAACCCTAATAACCGGTGCGATCCAGTAACCGGGTTTTGTTCTTGCCCACCCGGTCTCAGTACTCGATTTAGATGTACGCGATGCCAAACTGGTTTATTCGGTCCAGACTGTAGCTTGACATGCCCATGTTCGGATGAAACTGGGCGAAACGGTACCGCGCCTTGCAAAAGACTGAGTGGGGAATGTTTATGTCCTTCTCGATTAGATAGCTATAACAAAGGAACGAAAAACAATGAAAGCTCTATCGAGAATGTTACTTTTAAAAAGATTAATGAACAAGAGAAACGATATTTAAAGGATTGTTTAAGGGATCTTATATACACTTTTGACTCCCGATTCGATATTTACGATTTAGGAACTGAAAACAGAGTATATAGTTATTCAGATGATGGGGAGATTGGGGGGAGTAATGATCATAATGGGTATTATGGATATGCAAATGGGGGACAACAAAGATATAATTTAGGTTTTTAATATCTTGTATTTATATTACCTAAAATGATTTTTTAAAAAATATTTTTATTCATAGTTATAAATGGAGGACGATGGCTTTGTTTATTAAAAATGAAATGAGAATTTAATGTTTTTTCAGCCATACATAAAAATAATTTGGTAAAAGATTAAAAAAATTCATGTAATCTAAATTAAAAAAAAACATTTCTTAAAAAAATATACAATTGTCAAATATTAAATATATTAATGTGCAAATAAATACTTGTAACCTCAATTGAAAAAAATAGCCAAAGAAATACGCGAACACAATGAAGCCAAGAACAAGACTGGTCCCGAGATCAATTTGATGTCCATAGTTTTTATCATTTTGACTAGCATGCTATTGATAATATTCACTATCTGCTTGGCCGTTTGCCTTGTGGTTAAACGGAGGAAATCACTCAAAAAACATTCCATTATGAGTAAATTTTTGCATTTGTTCTCATTTAATTCTTATCCTCATTATATTACAAATCAGCTGTCATGCCAAGTCCAACTCTTATCTTTATAAATCTAAAAAAAATCAAAATGTGAACTTAGATCCGAACCCCCACATTTGAGGTTCTATGCATATTGACTATCGTAAATATTTTTGCGTTAGTATCTTGTTATTTCAATATTTATATTTTTTTTGAAGAAATAATCGAAATCAAAAGGGACACCTCACTACCCCATATTCCCACCACTAATTCGGATCAAAGTCTTCCTGTCCGTTTGCCCCCAAGCCATAATACTCCGGACGACAATATTTACTGTTTGGGAGACGAGGATGATTACGACATAGATTACGCATATCCTGCATCAGTGTTTGGAACCATAGAAAGGAAAGGATGTAAAAAATATTTTTATAAATGATTAAAAATAATTTTTTTCAGAAATATCGAAATACGCATTTTAAATTTTATTATAGTATAATCTTCAAAACATCACATGTAGGGATATTTTTGCGATTTTTCCCAAATTATTTTACACTTCAAAATCGATTTTATTTTTATTACAAAGTTAATTCCTTATCCATCTTACCTTCGCCTCCTCACGATCCATCCATGCTCCCAACTGTCACCTGTCCCCCATCACATGCCGATGCCAAGAATCCTGAAAATTTTATCACACCACCGTCCACTCTTTCCCGATGTAATATGAGACACAGAACGTCTTCCAAAGGAAGTCCTACTCAAGAATTTATTCAACTCAAGCAAGCTTCTACTGTTTCTAATAAAAATAATGGATCAAAAAAGGTTCATAATCACGTTTATCAAGAATTAAGGAATTCTTGCAATTCCTCAGGTTCCACCAATAACATTGACTCGTCTTCCACGACTTATTTGGTGCCCTTGCCCGTTCACGTAAAGGATAATGATATTAAAAATGTGCGTACTCATTTGATCGATACTTCAGACCACCACACTTTAGGTGACAATTTCGATGCTGGCAAAAAACATGTGATAGACGTGAATAAACAAATGATAAACAAAAGGGACTATCATAAACTTGACCACTCAGGCGAAACCTTCAAATTAGCCAAACCCGTCAACTCTCAAGTTATGAAAATGTACCACGACCACAATCGTTTTGCTATAGCCAGTGCTCCTTCCAATCAAAATGGAAGTTCTAATAATTGTGAACCACCGACTAGTCTCGAAAATTCGGAATTAAGCGAGAAACCACCTCCTGTTCCTTCCAGAAATTTTTCGGCCGATTCATTTAGAACTTTAGAAATGCGTGCTAGTGATCGGCACCCTTATCCCCCAAAATTAAGGAAGAGCGAAGAGGTGAAAAGCACCGAAAACCTTTTGATTTCTACGGACTCCTCTCCAGCTATCGTGAATTTACAAGATGAAACAAAGCTTGTTACACAATCTTATCTTAATCCTAAAACCAAAAAGCTTTTAAATATCGATACGATCGTTCCCAATTCCAATATTCCGAAAATTCCCGTTACTTTAAATAATTCAAATTCGAACAATCCTCAGCTACTCGATTCACCGAGTCTTAGTTACGATGAAGTAACCCCTTCTAATTCTTTCCTTTCTCTCTCATCTAGTCATCATATAAATAATTCTTGGAACGGTGAATATAATGTCCCCACGGGTTCTACGAATATTGATTTGATTTGTAAAAACAGCTGCGAGGATGAATACGATTCACCCGAAAGCGGAAAAAGAGATACGCTCAAAGCATTTCACGATAATGGTAATGACTGTATTCTACAAACCAAACTTTTTTTTAAAAAAATAATATTTTATTCAATGCCCAAAATTGATTTTTTTTGTATGTTTTAAATTTGCTAATTAATGATAAGAAATACTATATAAAGATTTAAATAATTTCTAAGTTTGTTGTTAAATGAACAAGGTAACCTTTGAAAAGATCCGCTTTGAACTTTGAGTTAAAAAAAATATTATAAATAATTTATGTGAAAAACTTTAATTATTTAAATTTTCTTTTTTTAAGCTCAAATATCAAGCCATCTTCCCATTCCCCGCCTTTCTCTCAATAAACCCCTGCCGCCCGTAAAGCCGCGCATTTTGCAAAATCACGCATTTCCATATTCCCAAACAAATGGTAGGTTACCACTGGTACTTCCTAAAAGTCCAAGCTTCACCAATTCTTCGCACGTCTCTATGCATGATGCCAGTCAAGATGAATACGATTCACCTAGAAAAATATAACGATTTTTTTGTAATGTGTCAATTACTAGTGAAATAAGTATTAAATTTGTTCGAAGTTGAATTATTCACGAATTTAGATTTTAATTTAAAAAATAAGCTTTTTTTAAAGAAAAAATGTAAATAACTTTGCTTCCCTGATTATTGATATATAGAGTTCTATATTTTTTTTTCTATATACATATAATTTGGGCTTTGGATATTTTTTTTATTTATAAAGAAATTTTTAAATAACTTAAATATGCAGAAATCGATGCAATCTATCATATAAGCTTAGTGTTATTGTCAAACTTTTTTAAATTATGATATATTTTTTTAAAAATGATTTTTAAATAATACTTCAAATTATAAACGCATTTTGTTTATTCAGACTTACTCTTTTAGGTAAGGAAGAAATAATTATATTTTTTTATAAATATTTTATCTCATCATAACTATTACAGTTAAAAATTGTATTATATTTATAACTTCTTATTATAATATATATTTTTTTTAAATTTTACATTATGCTAAATTTACTCTACTTAATATATCATTTTTCAAAAATCTTTTATTTTATTTTACCATTTTGAATCGTTTGAAATCAAAATATTTTTTTTAAATCTTGAATTTTATTGAATCTTAATAATAAAAAAATGTGATTTTTTCAAAAAATAATATTGAAATGAATTCTTAGTACAAATTCCAATAAAATATAGTATAATATATTATATATATATATATATAAACAAAATAAATTGAAGCGAATTGATAAATGAAGTCTGGCATTCCAAAAAATTTACCATATGATGGTTAATTTGAAATGAAAACCTAATAAAATTATTCTTTTTTGCCTTTATGAGGTGATGGAAAAATAAGACACCTCATTTTAATTATTATTTCACTCCAAATTTGATATTTAAAAACGTATATTAAGTTAACCATAAATGAAATTAATTATATATTGTTGGTTTCTTTTAACAACGTATATCGAAAAGATACATTTATTTTTGAAAAGAAAGTCACTTATATTTCTGAAAAAGACACTTTTGTCAAAACAATTTTTAAATATATTATATAGTATATTAAATTTATTATAGATTTAATATTAGCTAAAAATTTAATATGAGCTTTCATGTTAAATCTGAACTCGAATATTTCAAATCTTATTTCTTGGCTAGTGAAAATATTTTACTAATGTTACTTTAAAGATGAAATAATTAACTAAAAAAACATCCCCCCCCCAATGAAACAGTGCTTTTGCTACCGATAGGCACTTAGACTCAAGGATAAAAGTAATTTCATCGATTTTATTAACGGTTAAGAGTATGCTTTATATGGCACTATGGTCTAGTGTTAAAAATCATTTCTTTTTCGCAGTCTCATAGTCGGTTTAACCGAGTTATTTTTTGGCTTTAAAAAAATGTTATTATAAAGGTTGAAATGTTTTATTAACCTAAAGTGAAAGTTATTATAAAAATAACTATTTAACTTTTCAATAAAATTTATTCATTCAGTAAATTATAATTTAAAACCATAAAAGTAAACGTATAAAAAAATAAAAATTGGAAGTATAAAAAGTACTACATAATGATAAATGTAAAAACTTACAAGGAAAAAATTAATAAATCGTCCAAAATAATAAATAATTTTTCTTATAAAATTAAAATTTTCATCGTCTGTAATATTTTTTCTTCACATATATCTTTTTGAACATATTATTTGCATATAAATATATATATAAAAACGCTTACATAAGCATTAATTCTTCTAATTTTCATAATATTCAAATTAACTCACACATCTCTTCACTTTGATCAACCATTCTTCAAATGACCAAAATTCCCTTCGATGGATCGTATCTCCACCAACCCTAGTCTTATTTCATTCTTTACCCGATGATGTATTTTAATCACATCTTGGGGTAATCTTTTATATCTTCTAAGTTCCAGCGACGGCTATCCCTTGTCTATTATTCTTAACTTTTAACGACTGCTTGTATCAGATTATTGCTTATTGCCTTTACAAATTTTATTTCTTATAATCACCGCATGAAATTCTGGACTTATCCTACCATCTATTGCCTATCGACCTTGGTAAATGATTAGCTCTTTATCTCTACAAGCGATTGACGATAATAGGAACCCGATTAATTATTAATTCTAGTCTCCTTTCTTACTTGGTTTCTTCTAGTATAAGCATGGGATTTTTGACAATTCACCCTAGCTTCTTGTTTGTTTCTAACGTTCTCTTATAAATGATTAGCTCTTTATTTCTGTAAACAATTGGCGATTGCTTTTAAACGATTATCGATCGACTAGTCTCTTTTTCAACATAGTTTTAATCTATTACCAGCATGTAATTCTTGACAATTTATCTTAGTGCTTGTTTCTAGTGTTGTTAAACGGCTCGTTTTGAGCCGATTTTTAAAAACGGCTAACTTAATATTTCATCAAGAATAATATTACGCAAGCCTGAAGATTTTGCTTGTAGAAGGAACAAAGGTTTGGACATCCAACAGCGAAATCTCGTGCTTAGGCAATATTTTTCTGGCTAAAATATTAAGTTAGCCTTTTTTTAAAATCGGCTCAAATCGGGTCGTTTAACAACACTACTTGTTTTTAACCTTCTCTTGCAAATGATATGCGCTATATCTCTGTAAGCGATTGACAATTGCTGGTATTAGCGATTGCCTTTAAACGATCCATGAATTCTCGTACCGATAACTACTTATCGTCGACTTCCGTGTCTTCTATGACAGTTTGTTTTTGCCGATATATCGAATTTACTGTTTCTTTATCCTAACTTAATCTTAGCCTTTAGTCTTAAAATTGTTTTTATAAATTCCTACAAAAATATACTATAAAACCCCCTAACTTTTTTTAACATTCATTCTTAAATTTAAAATACAATCCAAATGCAGCTAATGTCGAATTCTACCACCCCTTTCCCCTCAATGTAGCCTAGACCTCTATCTTCATTGTACCATTTGTCTGTAGTCGTCCTTTAGCTACTGTTCATCATCTTTTGTCAGCCATGTCTAAAGCTGTATTTAAATCTAAATACCTCTTAATAATTTTTGCCTAAAATTCTTTCAATTCTAAATTTTAACCCAAATAATATCTTATTTTTTTATGTGTCCTTGAGTATTTATTTCATCATGCTTCATAAACCATTGTACATGCACGTTTTTAAAGATAAACATTAAAATCTATATATTTTATTCTCCTTTATGCGGCTCACACCCGTTGTTAAAAAACAACTGTAATAAATATCTTTTTTATTCTTCTTTTTCGTGCAAACTTGTTGCATAACAACTAACTTATATTCTCATATCTAGCACACGTTGTTAAAAAACAACTCAGTTATGATTATCATGAATCTCGCACATGAAAAACAACTCTAATATGAATCATCAAATTAACACATATTCTTGAAAAAGCTACTGAAATATATCTAATGCATAAACTCAAATTCCACTTTTTTTGAAAACCTTTTAAATTCTCATACCTTTTTTATATCAACTTTACATTCTTGTAACTCCTCTTATTTTAATTAAATATCAACAACAATTTTTATTTTTTTCTTAGGAAGTATTTCGCATCTAGCTCAGCATTATTCAAAAAATAAATGTACCATTTTTTCATTCTTCTTGAATCTTTTATCTACAAGCTCTATGTATTTGATTTATTAGTCTTCTATTTTCTTACATCTAAAACAACGATTCAAAATAATTTTCATAATTTCTTCCTTGGTATTCCATTTTTTTTCTTCTTTTTCTTTCTGCTATTATTGAATACATGTTGCATAATTGACCTTAAATATTATTAATGCTCCAAAATAAAATTCCGATCTCTAATTGAGCTAAATTGCGACATGATTTTTCTAATGATGGAAGTCGTTTCTCTTCCTGAGTTTTTTAATTTATCAATAACCTAATATTTTACTAAATATTATCAAAATAAATAACAGTTAAACCTAAATCTTTAATAAGAATTTAATTCCAGCATCAGCATATGTTTAAATAATACTTGTATATTCATCTTAGTTTCTGAAATTTCTAAAGATTTCTAATGGTGCAGACTTCAAGAATATAATTTTTATGTCAATTTATTGATATTTAAATTTAAAAAATATAATTATCACATAACTCAAAATAGTTTCCTATATATATTGACAATTTAATTTAAATGTCGTTTATAATAAATTGATCTTTTTAAAGTTAAAATATAAAATTGAACATTCGTTTTTTAAGTAAATTGATTTATATAATAAAAAATATAAAATTTAATATTAGTTTATAAGCAAATTGATTTTTTAAAATATAAAAGTTGTTTTTAACAAAAAGAAAGAAACGAATTCTTATTACATTTGAAATATTTTAAGTTACGCCATAAATAGCTTAAGGATGTAAAAAAAAACAATTTTTTAAAGTTAAGATAAAATACATGAGTGTCACTGTTTAACAATTCACACTTTTTTTTTTATTTCTTATTTGCCCTCTGTCTATAATTTTTGTCGTTTGTCATTCCTGCTCGTTAACCCCTTCGTTGATCTTTTTTTGTTGTACGTTTTATCAATTTAGTTCCACACACAAAAAAATACTAATTTTGTTTTAATATAAGGAAGAGAAAAAAATTTATTATCAAATTTAATTCATTATAAAATTTTCAAATTTTCTAGGCAACACACTATTTCTAACTGGTCTTTGAACGTTGCGATTCTGATCATTCACTTGTACATGTTGGTTTCTTGGTTCATCACCTCCCCTTCTAAAATTCAATGTATAAGGTGATGCATTATTATTAACATTCGCTTTAAAAACTGTTGCACCATTAGAAGAAGGTTCAACATTAGTTGATCTTTTTTTTATTTGGTCCAAGTGTCTTTTTATAATTTTGTTCCCAGTATCTATCTCATACAACAAATTTCCGTTTTTGCGCATTATTGTACCTTTTTCCCAATTATTATCCTTAAAAGTTTTATACCATATGCTGTCTCCTATTTCTATATCCCTAACTATTGATATCTTGCGATTTAGTATATGATCTCTTTCATCCCTCGGTTTTATCAACTCCCATTTTGTCCTAATCATTCTGGAGAACATTACTTCGCACTAGCTTGTTCATCTCGTTATTTATTATCATTTTATCAATGTTTGTAAATATATATTATGATCAATATATCTCAAATAAAATAATTTTGGAATAATTGAAATGATAATGGAATAAATAATTTATCAGAATGATTCATAAGAATAAGAATCATAATAGAATATTTGGAATTGTTTCATTTTATATAATAATAATTTTTTTATTTATTATTTATATTTTTTTAAATTTTACTCCTTTATTTTTCAATTTAAACACTTTTTTTATATCATAATTTCTCTTTAACTTGTTCTTTATTTTCTCTTTCTCCTTCCATTTTCAACATATGATCTCCATATCGTACTCCTAATCTCTCTTTCAACATCGCGACATTTAATCACCCTTGTTTTAATTTTCTTTTCCATAGTTTTTTTAAATTTTTTATTAATTAAAAAAATTTTTATTCTATTATTTTCTTCAATTTTTATTTCATTATTGTTTTTAATAACTATTATTTCTCCAATTGTTATCAAATGATTTATTTCTTCTAATTTATAAGAATTAATTTCTTTTTTAACATTTGGTATTAAGTTACATAATTCAATTTTATTCAAGTTTTTTTTATTATGATATTTATAATTATAATTTTCATACTTTTTATTGTAATATGTACCTTCATAATTTTTACTATCTACTTTTCTATTTTCCTCGATTATATTTACAAAATTGTATGGTATTATCATAATCATCCTCGACAATATTCATAAATTTATCTAGTATATTCCCAAAAACTGTTATCCAAGTCCTTCCTAACAGTGCAATCTTATCACTCTGGACTACATAAGCAGTTAAGATTTGACTTTTGTCCTCGAATTTTGCCTTGACTTTGGTAGTTCCTAATACATTTATTGTGTTTCCATCATATCCAGTTAATTTAATATCTGATTTATTTAAGATTTTTACTCCAATCTTTTTCGCGATATGAATCGGTAGAATACTAAACTTCAATCCGGTATCAATCTGCATCAAAATAGGCATGTCGTTCAAATATACCGTGACTTTATATGCGTCATTGACTGTGTTGTCTTTATCAGCATCCATATTATTTATGTCCGTTATACAAATTATATTCTTTTTTTCTATTTTATTATTATCATCCTCTTTTATTTCTTCTATGTTTATGGTATTTATTTTATTAGTGTATCGTGTTTGATTATTATGGTCGACATGATGTCTACAATTACATGCGTAACTTCCTCCTCGATTTCCATTATAATTATTACTATGCCTTTGCGTGCATCTTGAAGTATCATAGCGTCTGTTGAATCCGTGATTGTAATCATAATAGAATCTTTGGTTATTATCGTTATTATAACTGGTTCTATTTTCAAATCTTGAAAAATTATTGTATAATCCTGGGTAATTTGCCCTAACGTTATTGTAGGTACCCGCATTATAGTTCTGATGTCTAGGGTTGTAATTATTTCCCTGATAATTATTTTGAAAGTTGTTGTTTCTCGTAGTCCATAGTTGTCTGTTATCGTTATTCGATCGTGGATTATGTCTATCGTCGTATCTGACCACCTGTTTGTTTTCTTCAACTTTCATGCCTCTTTGTCTTTCCAAATGTTTTACGCTTGTTTCTTCTTCAGTCTTTTCACTTAAAGAAATGTTTTCAACTTTAGCTATTATATTTTCTTTTAATTCTGTCTCCTCAAAATCATCTCTTAAACTAAAGACTTCTGCTAACGTAATATTCTCTTTCAACGTAATTTTCTGCCTGATACTTCTGCTATTTGGTGAAATTTTTACCTTTTCAATGACTCTACTATCGCTTAACGAACATTCATTTTGTAAAATACATAATCTACTTACCCAATTGATGTAACTTTCACTTTTACCTTGTACAGCTGCATTGAATAATAACAATTTCGAACTTGTAGATTTCCTCGGGTGTAATAACCTAAATTTTTCAATCAATATCGATGGATTGATGAAATCGGTAGGTGAACATATCGATTTGAGCTTGATGTATTCTTCGTCTGGTAGTCTTCTTGTGAAGGATCCTGCTTTTTCGATATCAGAGATCTGAGCATCGTTGAATATGTCTTCGAAACGACTTAGAAAAACATCGCCATTACCTGTGTATGTTGGAAATTCAATATTAATATTAACGTTATTATTTGAGGTCTGTTTCATAATTTATAATTTACAATATCCTTGAATTTTTCTATTTTATAGTATTGGATTTTATAAAAATTTTAAGAAGTTAATTTATATTTAATATTTTAGAAAATTTTAATTTAGGATACGCTGCCACCATGAAATTTCTAAAGATTTCTAATGGTGCAGACTTCAAGAATATAATTTTTATGTCAATTTATTGATATTTAAATTTAAAAAATATAATTATCACATAACTCAAAATAGTTTCCTATATATATTGACAATTTAATTTAAATGTCGTTTATAATAAATTGATCTTTTTAAAGTTAAAATATAAAATTGAACATTCGTTTTTTAAGTAAATTGATTTATATAATAAAAAATATAAAATTTAATATTAGTTTATAAGCAAATTGATTTTTTAAAATATAAAAGTTGTTTTTAACAAAAAGAAAGAAAGAATTCTTATTACATTTGAAATATTTTAAGTTACGCCATAAATAGCTTAAGGATGTAAAAAAAAACAAATTTTTTAAAGTTAAGATAAAATACATGAGTGTCACTGTTTAACAGTTTCTAATCTTAATCTCTGACTATTTTCAATAATAATTTCTTTTCACCAAATCTTAATATTATTTAATTGACTTATATACCATTATCCCCAAATCATGTTCCTTTTTCTTTTGACTCTCACAGTTGTCTTTAGTAATCTGAGATTTAATAAATAATAATAATACTAAATCATCTTACAATCTCAGTTAGCTTCTGTTAGATTCAATTGATTTCCAAGTTTACCAGCTTCTCTGTTAACTATAAATTTCATAAATAATCACCTTTTAATTAAACACAAACTTCTTTATATCTTATCTGCCCTGTCTTTATATATCTTTGTTTTTCATTTTAGATATTCCATAATATTGTTACACAAATGTATCTTACAGCATAGGTGCCGACTTGATGAGGGCAACGGCCCCCATAGACTAATTTCTATGGGAGAGGGAGGGGATAGGTGAATTATTATATCTCATCCAAATATAAACAAAAGTGAGAAAAAATATTTTAATTATTATATTCATTCTATATTGCTATGCTCTTCTTTCTCCCTGAGCCCAGGTAAAAAAAATAAATTATTTTTTTTCATTATTATGGAGGTTTTAAATAAGGACTATTTAGGAAAGTAAAGCTTATACTATCTGATCGCCGCTCTAGACTTGGGGTTGATAATATTGAGATTATTTATTATTAAAATGCAATAAAAAATAAAACATATTACATTTTAGTCATATTTTTATACACGTTTGAGTTTTGAAGTGTTAGCGGTAGCGCGCTACTTTTTAAAGTAGCGCTAAACAACATAATTAGGATTTGTTAAAAAATTAATATTGAAAAAAATTTAGTGTACCATACTATACAACAAAGTCAGCTGTAGTGAATGTCATTGACTGTAATAGACGTCACGCAAAAGGCATTTCGTCTAAATGTCTTTCAATGGTGGAATTTAATGTATGAACGCTTTAATGCATTTTAATGAATGAATCATTAATCTAAGTGAAGTTTTTAATGTCATTGTTGCAAACTCAAATATCCTTGGATAGGATTCGGAACTGCTCGTTTTGAATAGGTTGTATTTTTTAAAAAAGGTTGAAAAAGAAGATGAAGATCGCCATCGATTTTTTATTTTATTGTTTTATTGCGAACGTTTTTTAAAATATTATTATCATTTTCTTTATAAATCCTTAAATTTCTTAATAAAATGATTGCAAAAATAGGAAATTTGCAATAAAATATGAGTATTAAAGATTATTATTATAAAAAAAAATAAAAAAAACAACGCACAAAAAAAAGGTTGTTTTATATTTTTCGTTTGTTTTTTTTAACGAAAATAAGAAACTAACAAAACAAAAATTGTTGTTTTTTTTTCGTTTGTTTTTTTTTTCACTTTAAAAAAAACGGTTTTTTATTTTTTCATCATTCAATTCGAAATAAAAATGATATATTTTTGCATTAAAAAAAAAATTAAATACCAATTAGTTTAATAAAAAAAAATCCTCAACTACATTTTAAAATTAAGGTATGCCACGATACAAATATAACTGCGTGTACGATAATTTTTTATTGCAGAAGCAAAAAAAGAATGTTGGAACGTATGAGTGCAAATTTTGTTCAAAACGTATTTCGTCCTCCAGTAGTAGCAGACTCAAAGAACATATTGCGAAATGTGTTATAATTAAAAGGGAAGATAATATAGCATTGCCATCAGCATCACAAGTAACCATATTACGCATGGACCCCCCACTCCCGGGTTCTCAAGAGTCTATGGCAATTGATTCCTACCCTCCCTCATCAAATAAATTTCACAATGGAAATTTGATAAAATTCCCTGATACCAAGATCATGAGCGCAAAACAAGTGACGGATGCCAGACATCATCTTACACGTTGGATGTATGCTGAAAACATTCCATTCAGTATGGTAGAAAGCAGATTTTTCAGAGATTTCGTGTCAGCCCTTTGCCCGGACTTTACAAATCATTTGCCATCACGATATGAAATTTCATTACCCATGCTAAATTCTTATTGTGAAAATTTAAAGACGGCAATAGCCACATACAATACTTCCGATATGGAATACACGTGCCTTAAGACTGCCGGGTTGAGCAATATTCAGGGTGATTCTACGGTAAATTATATTTTTATAAAAAAATAACTGAAACCTGATTTCACAATTAAATTCATTCTATTTAAATTTCTTTTTTTTTGTTGTTGAATTGAATGTTTTAAAATTTTGTGATAAATATTAATCAAATTTAAAAAAATCTTAAAAAAAAATATTAATAAACATGAAGATATATAACTAGTCCGAAAAAAAACTACTCAGATAATCGATATCAAATATTATAAAATAATAATAATCAGATGTTTTACAAAAAAAAAAATTAAATAAAACGAAATAATGATGAAATGCAAATCTTAAAAAAAAATATTAATAAACATGATGAAGATATATAACTAGTCCGATAAAAAGCTACTCAAAGATAATCGATATCAAATATTATAAAATAATAATAATCAGATCAGATGTTTTACAAAAAAAAAATTAAATAAAACGAAATAATGATGAAATGCAAACAAAGTTCATTAGTAAAAAAAATATATAAGTAAACAAAAAAAAACGTATACAAAACAAATTTACACGCCTCCCGGTTTAAGCCATTTCATTGGATAATTAAATATTATAATTTATTTTTTATTACACAAGGTTCTTTAATTCTTTTCGAATAACAATAATTATATTAAAATTTTATACTAAGATATCTTGAAAAATATTTTTATACTTAAAAAACAATAGCTTAAATATCATTTCTTTGGGAAATTCACGATTATTTGAAAAAAAGGTAAGAATGTAAATTAATTGTAATCAAATTTTTGTTGAAATATTATATTATTATAGCTATACACTATAAGCTACCACTATTTATTAGCTACTACTATTTATTAGCTACTAAGCTAAGGCCTATTCAAAAACGAATATAAAATCTAATAAAATATTCGTTTCTTTAGAATGAATCTAATAATTTACTATTGGTATTATTGCGAATAATTTAATATATTATTCTTATTTGATAGGTATAATTTTTAAGAAATTCGATTTGTTCGAATCTTCTAATACGAATAATTATTAGGTTTCGTATTCGTGTTTGAATAAGACTTACTTAACAATATTTGATATAATACATTTTATTTTCAAATATAAATTCCTCGCACTAAGATGCCATCACCCTCACCTATATACTTAACGGAAGCACAAAAGGCGGAATTGGCTAAAACCGCGAATGAAATCGTCGCGAAGGGCAAGGGTATATTAGCTGCAGATGAAAGCACGGGTAAAAATTTTTTCATAGATACATTTTTTGGTGGCCTTACCCCCAAAAGGCTAACCCAGATAGAATTAAGATCAGATCGGGCTTAATTTAAATTTAAAAAGACTTTAATGAGGCCCCTAAAAAGAAATGCTACCCTTCCACCCTTCATGTTAGGGGTTTGGTAAATTGGCGATGCTTCTTATAGTTTTTTAAAGTAAATATGCGTAATTGGGATACAATTTTGTCATAATCAGGTATTTTAAAATTTTAAAATTGGATGCTATAAATGATCTAAGTCTTAGAGATTTGCTAAAAACCCAGATTTGTTAAATCCCTACGACATGCGAATAATAAAATCAATATTTATGAACAAATTTAGATTATAATGGATTTAAATATCGGAACCGAATCGATTATTGCCAATATCGACAGATATCAGAAATATAATTATTGAATACTCCTTACACTGCATTTATAGTAAACACGTTTGGTTCAAGCTGTGCGGCCTTTAACGCTATCGAAATCACAGCTGTGTTTAAATTGCTATCGTTTACCGATGAATTACGCATCGCTTGAGCGAAATGATATACTAGATATTTAGTATAATTTTACCTTATATAAGCTGGTAATGATATTATTCTTTGAAATTATAATTCCACGTTATCAGTTTGTTCCATATCTATCATTAAAAAAAATTGTTGGTTTTCATTGTAAATTGATTTTTGATTTCATATAATAGATTTCTTCTTTAGAAATTTAGCCATTTGAAATAGATAATTTATAGAAATGAAAAAATATGTAATGATTACTTTTGCCCCCCCCCCCCCCCCTCATTCCTTCTGTCTGACGACGCCATTGCATGCATTTCATTAAAACATTTCCTTACAAATCTCTTATATATAAATATATAATATTACAATTATATATAAATTTTATCCAAGGTTATTCTATATTATTAACTCATTTCAAGGCTATGGTCAAAAAATTTTACTTTTTATTTTTTTAAATTAAATTGTGTCAATGCAAATTAAAAAAGGTATATAATATATATGTTAGCAGCAATGTGTGTTTTTTTTTAAACTTTATATCTTATCTTGATCTCGTTTTTTTGGAATTTAAAAATCTGATTTTACCAGAAATGTATTCCAACATGTTTACAATACCTATCTAATTGTAGACAATTTTGCATTAACCTTTTTGTCATAAATAATCTTTAGAAGAACGAATTTAAATTATATTATGTTATAGAATAAAATGTCCACTAACGATGCGTAATTCATCGTTAAACGATTAAACATGTATTTTGTATACGGTCAGTTACTATAAAAGAGGCCTTACGCTGCATTTATAGTAAACGCGACTCGCTCAAGCGTGGGAAATTAATCGCTAGCGAAATCACATCTGATTCGCCTATCATCACATTTCAACATATTTTTCACGCGATTTTGTAATTTCGCTCGGTATTTGTAAATTCACCTATTATTGGCTTGATTATGTAAATTACATAGCGAAATATTTCGCATCGCTTAAGCTAATCGGCCATATTATAAATTCAGCCTTATTCTGCAATAGTAATTAAAGTTAATTATAATTGCAATCATTTTCTCGTTCCTAGTGGAATTTTGCTTGGTCCAATATATTATTTAAATATTTGCCATTTACGGATGTTTATGCAAATATTATTAAAAATAGTATTAATTTAATTCTAACATATTTTTAAAAAAAATTAGAATTAAAACGGATGTTCACGTTGATACATTTTTTTAATTGAACACACATTGGACCTATTTATCAAATGCAAATTTATATTATAAATAAGGTGAACTAGAGGTTAATAGGGCCGTCCGGATCCGAGGGTCGGGACGACGTTAACATCATCAATAAAATATTAGGCCCGACCCATGACCCAAAAAATATATTTCCTTCTAATTCTCCCATAATTAAAGACAGCTGTTTAAAAAATAGTATTATTCCTCTTATAAAATAAAAATAGATAAACATACATATTAAATTATCAATATTTCTAAATATTTAAATTTAATGCATGCATAATTAAAATATAAAATAAAAATAAACATTTTTAAGTTTATGGTTTACCTTTAAGCTTTTTTAAAATATGTAAAAAAAAATTTTTTACAACCTCTGGGCAAAGAATTTTGATTTTGCAGGTCTCTAGTTTCATCCATATCTTATAATAATTATATAAATGTAAAATTTGATACTTAATTGCTTTAAGTTCTTATAAAATACTTTAAAAATTTTTATTTATTAAAAGTGTGCATACATTGAAATCAGCTGTTGTCTAATTGGCCGTAGTAGACATCATTGAAATATTTATCTTTCGTGTTTTTGATGAATTTACAGTCTATAAACTTTCACTTAGTTTTTTTATTAAATGATTGTTTATAGCATATTGTATACTTATTTGGGGTGTGAGGGGAGTGTATAGGGATTTTTTTAAAAAATTAGCTCAATTATAATATTTACGATAACATGTAAATTTTTGAAAGAGAGAGCACCCCCTCACCTCTACCACTATGTGGGGATCCTTTTCGGACCTAACTCGATATTTGTATTTTACTTCAATCCGATTCGAACCCCATAAAAATCTTGGCAGACCCATGGAACTCAATTAAGATCTACGTGCGAAACTAACTAATTAAAAATTGAATTAAGGTACGATGGGCAAAAGATTGACGAAAATAAATGTGCAAAACACGGAAAACAATAGAAGACTTTTCAGACAACTACTTTTCACTTGCCCGAAAGAAATGGCGGAATCGATCAGCGGAGTTATCTTATTTCATGAAACCTTGTATCAAAGCACCGACGAGGGGATACCTTTCATCAAAATTTTACAAGATAAAGGTTAATACATTTTTGTCAAACACCTTTATCATTAACATACATAAGGGAACATTAAAATTAATAAACATAATGATAATCCTGATAAATTATATTATTTTTTTTTAATTTACCCAAAAATATTAGGCATCATACCTGGTATCAAAGTCGATAAGGGTACCGCTATATTAGGAGGTACGGACGAGGAGACTACAACGCAAGGTTTGAAGTTTTCCTTATTATCTTTTAAGTAACACCATATAAATTGTTCCCTAGTAGGATTATAGCTAGTTATTAGCTCAAAACGGTTAACCGAGTTTATAGCCAAAAACTATCATATCAGGAGGCCCAAGGTTTTTTTCTGAAAAGATAGCTCAACCTTGAATATAGCAGATTCAGATTTATTTCTTTAAAACTCATGCCACAATGACAATGCTTAGCTGATTTTTTTTATGGCGCACAAATGTAGATTGAGTTGAATTAGTCGATTTGAGTTCGCAATTGAAAATGATTATCAGTCATTAATTATAGTTATCGTGTTTTAATGAATTTAGGATTGGATGGCTTAGCCGAGAGGTGCGCTCAATATTACCAAGACGGTTGCCGCTTCGCTAAATGGCGAAGCGTATTGAAGATTGGCTCACACGCTCCCACTGAACTGGCTATACAAGAAAACGCTAACGTTCTTGCTAGATACGCCAGTATTTGTCAACAAGTAGAAAATTTATATAAAGTTTTAATTTAGGCCAATTTCTTCTAGAGGTAATTGCATGCTTTTACTTTATGGGCCTATAATTTTTCTCGACATTGTCTGATGTTAAAGGGCTTAATCTTCTAAATTTTTAATTATTGCTACAATCATTTCATCAAAATTGCAACAGAAATATTAAATTTAAAAACATCTTCAACTCCGAATTTACAAAATTAAATGCTGTAAGAATTTTTCTTTATTCACATAACCAGGATAATTTATGTAAATTTCCATACTACAATTAAGTTAATCTTTAAAAACAAAAAATTATATTTTATAATAAAATTAAATTTTTAAATAATAATTAGAATGGTTTGGTACCCATAGTAGAACCCGAAATTTTGCCGGACGGTAATCACGATTTACAAACAACCCAGCGAATCACCGAAAAGGTTTTATCGGCTGTTTACAAGGCCTTATCTGATCACCACGTTTTTCTCGAGGGCACTCTGCTTAAACCTAATATGGTAACTCCGGGTATGGACTACAATTCTGGAGAGCGAAACGGGCATTCAATAGGGAATGATGGTTTAAAAACCGAAGCTCAAAATATTGGTTGGGCTACCGTTCAGGCTATGCAAAGAAGTGTTCCGGTCGCCGTTCCAGGTATATATATATATAATTTTTTTATATTTTTAGTGGCATCGTTATAGCGTGCCGAAAATTTTCTAAATTTTGAAAAGACTATAATTAATAAGATTTAGGCGATGCATCTGATTAACTGCTTAGGACGCATGATGAATGTTAATTTATTAAACATACCTATAGCAGGTATTAAGGATAGATTTATTTTTTAATCTTTTTAGAATATGATTGGGAGTTGATATTAAAATTTATATCCTATTATAAAATTTCGAAAATTCAAAAGGTATTACGTTTCTGTCTGGAGGCCAAACAGAAGAGGATTCTTCCGTAAACTTAAACGCCATTAATCAGTGCCCATTGAAGAAACCATGGGCCTTAACTTTCTCATTTGGGAGAGCGTTACAAGCCAGTACCCTAGCAGCGTGGCAAGGAAAACCAGAAAATGTCGGAATCGCTCAAGCTGAGTTTTTGAAGCGGGCTAAAGTTATATTATGCCATTAAACATTATGTACTTTTAATATGTTTGTTGGGTAAGCCCTGATTGCTCTATTATTTTATTTTCAAGAGAGATGTGGTTAAGCGACTTTATATTTATATCCTTGGAATTTTATTTTCTTACCATAATTATCTTTGTAGCATAAAATTCATACATATAATTTTACTATAGTTTTTTAGTAATTAATTATTCTAATTCAAATTTTTCCCCATTTTCTTTAAAATGAAATAATTAAGAGTTGTGTGCGACTAAGCAGTGTTTGGCACGTTAACCTAAAATGTAACGGTTACCGTTACTCAAGAGAAAAATATAACAGTTCCCGTTACCTCAAAAAACATAAACTGTTATATTACCGTTATTTAGAGCATGTAATGGTTACAAAAGCTCTTCGTTACATTAAAAATCTTTTAATCATCCATTATGCTGCTAGTTATTAAAATTATAAAAAGCGATATAAACTAGAGGTCTGCAATGGGCGGGTTTTTAGGCCTGTCCATGCTGTGAGCGGGCGTGGTTGGGCTTTTTAAATTATTTTCAACTTTAGGCGGGTGGCAGGCTGGTTAAAAAAATTTAAGTAATGGGCGGGCGTGGGTTAGTCAATTTTTGATTCAGGCCAAATGAGCAGAACAGACTTCAATTTATTAAAAAATATAGTTTTATTTCATAATATTGCATATTATATAGTATGTTTAATTAAAAATATATTAAAATAAATAAATAAAGAAGAAACCAGCCATCAAAATAATTTTTAAGCATTAGGCAGGCCGACGGGTTAAACAAAATTTATAGATAAATGGGTAGGAGGGTGGGTTAATCTAAAAAAAAATTTAAGTGAGCGAGTGGGTTAAAAAATTTAAATCAACGACTGTGCTGGCTTTTTGGCTATAATCCGCCTATTGCTGAACTCTAATATAAACTATAAATTAATAAAAAATTTAACTACCAAATATGATAATTTTAATCATTTGATAAAGGAAGTAATTTTTCAGATAGAACATCATTATTTTCTTCTATTTGGTATATTAGTCAAATCAGGGTTGGGCATCAGAAAATTGTATTCGGATACAGATACTTTATAAAATTTTGTATTTAAGATACTAGATACTTTAGAAAAATTTCAATAAGATGTAAGATACAAGATACTTGTATTTTTTTTAAAAAAAAGTATCTAAGATACAAGATACTTTTTTAAAAAACTTTAAATAGTCAAAATCAAAATGTATAAAGCTTTATTTTCTTATCTATAATATAAATTTATAAAAAAATATTTAAAATAAATTGTAGAAAATAACAAATTTATTATAAAAGATAATGCGATATTCCATTTAATAATTATATAATTAGTAAATAATTATAAATCAGCATTATTTTTTAATATTATTAATTTTTCAAATGATTTATCGTTCAATCTTTGACGATTTGGTCTATTAACCATATTAGTAAAGCTAAATAATCTTCTAACGGGGATTGAGGAGGGCATTATTGTGTTATATTTAATAAATATTTATTTTATATATTTATAACTATTTAACATATTTATACTCCACCTGTCATCTTTCATATAATTTAGAACCTCTATTTCAATATCATTTATTGAATTATTAGAATTGGATGTGGTACTTTTAAGGCAAAAGTAATCATCATCTTTATTAATTGAAGATTTTGTTGAAGTATTAATTTCAATATTATTTTTAAAAACAATTAAAACTTCATGTAATAACAAATCCTGAAGGTATTTTATTTCTTTTTCACCATCAATCCAACTATTTTTAAAATTGGGATGAGAAATAGTTGCCAAAAATGCACTTTTAAAATTGTTATCAAAATCATATATATTTTTAAATCTTTTATTTAAATAATTTTCTATGGCAATAGCTAATGGTTTGCAAAATTGTAGAATGGTTTGAATTAAATTTGTAGTTTTTTTTAATGACATTTAAAATTGGAGCTGATTCTCCATAATAGCAGTTGATTTCACTCTGTATTTTGTCAATCGCTATAGCCAATGTGGACATTATATTGCAATATTCTTCTAAATATTGAATTTCAATATCTCTTAATTTAGGAAATTCTAATTTTTGACATAATTTAGGAAGTTCGCCTTTAAATTTTAATAAACTATGAAGACTATCATACAAACTATTCCATCTAGTGCAACAAGGTGTAACTAATCGTTTTCCTAAAACTGCTTTGATAAGTTCTGCAGTTTTAGGCCTATTATTTGCATTCCATACTTAGTACATTTAGCTATTGCAGGATGATGAATTTTAGAAATGTTAGGAGAATCCTTAGCCCAAACAACGAATGTGTTGAGGCAATGTTATTGAGGCTTCTTTAGACCCTTAAATAAACAAATAAATAATTTTATTTGAATAAAAATTTTTACTAAATTTACAATATCATAATAAATTTTAAAGAAGTATTAAATAATACTTTCAATGATTTCGAATTCTATACATTCATCATCATTGATGTCAAAGTCATTCTCTACAGCTTCCATAGAATATCCAAACTCCTTGAAAGCGTTCTTAAAGTTAGAACCGTTATCTGTAACAGTTGCTATAACTTTTTCGTCAATACCAAAGTCACGATGAATTTCTTTATTATGATCATCTTGAAGTACTTCAAAAAATTTGCCATTAAGTATGCTTAGTTTAAATTTATTGTTATAATTTTCGGTTGAAGAATCATCTGAAGACGAAGATAAACATATTATTCTATTTTCTTCTTCCATAATTTTAAAATAGACAGATATAAAACGATTCAAATATGGTGGTTCTAATTGTTAGCAAATTGCTATATGACGACCAACGTCATATATCAAAAATTATCTTAAAATATCTAAATTTTGATTAAATTTTTCATTAAAATCTTAAAACAATATCATTTTACATTTTAATACTATTTAAATTAACCAATATAAATTTTTTTAAAGTATCTGTATCTTTTTGAATACAAAGTTGGTTAAGATACAAATACTTTTAAATAATATGTATCTTAGATACTGGATACAAGATACTTTCCAAAATTTTAAAAAAGATACAAGATACAAAGTATCTTGTATCTTAGATACAAATATCCGCGATACTGCCCAACCCTGAGTCAAATTACCAATAGATAAAATGAGGTTCAACGCTAATGGAGGATAGTAAATTTTGGTGGTGTTAAATGTTATTTTTAAAACATAACGAGTTACAGTTACATTTCAAAAATAACTAATTTGAATCACTTATATAACAAATTATTATTTTATTCAATATAAAAATTTATGATTTACAAATCTTAATCAAAGATATCTAAAAGAAAATATACAATTTATTTATATAAAAATATAATTACACTGGAAAAAAAATAGCGGAGAGTAGAATAATACCGAAATAAAATATAATAATATCACATATATTTGCACTGATTATTTTTATAAAAGCCCGGGCTTAGTAAATTTTTATTTTCCTTTAACAATAAATTATTTTCAAAATTTCCGTCTAAAGGACGCACTTATTTCTCTTCAAAAAGAAACCTCCCTAGACTAAACAAACATTCTATGAGAACACTTGATATAAGGACAACATTATAAATAAAAAGTAATAATGTAATCTCTTTTTAATTAGTTAATATCATTGCACAGATTTATTTTGTAAATTTCACAAACCCTTCTAATATAGAATTTAAAATTCTTGTAGCTCCAGTGTTTGAAGCGCTAATAATTTTTACCTAGTTATAAATAATATTGGTACTAAATCACCATAATAGCAATTTTCCTCTTTTTAAAACTTGGATAATGCTTAGGCAACAGGTACTAAACTCTTTGTATATTCTTCCAAAAAATCAATTTCTTTTGCTTTAAAGACTGAAAGATCTAGTTTGACCAATAGGCTTTCAAGTTTAATTTTTTTAGAAAGAAGCATCAAGAGGGTGTCATACAGACCGTTTGGATTTATTAAGTGATATCTGAAATGGTCTTAAATGATTTTCGATTATCTGGACCTTCCTGCAGAATTCCACAAAGCATTACATTTTCCAAACACAGTGTTAGGAATGAATAAGATTAAGAAATAACAAAATAACAAACGTTCCATTACTCAAAAATGTAAGGGTTACAGAGCTCTTCGTTACATTTTTAAATGTAATATGTTACGTTACATAATGTAACGTTATTTGCAATTTTCCCAACCCTGCTACTAAGTATTATAATATGGGCACGATTCTTGAGAGAGAGAAAAAAAACTGAAAACCGCTACAAAATATATAATATAATAACTCTATTATTAGCTATAATAAATGTTATAATTATTATTTAGGCCAATGGGTTAGCATGTCAAGGTATGTATGACCAAAAACATTCTGTCGGTATCGCATCTACCAAGTCAAATTTTGTACCAAAACATCAATACTAATAAATTAATTATTTAAAATATTATTGTAATAATCAAAATAGTAGAAAAAAATATTTAATTTATATTAGGAATTATTAAATGTTTGGGCACCTATAATTTTTTTTTTTTACAAACCAAAAAATTCAAAATGAAATAAATTTATATATATATAAAAAATTGTATTGTGTTTTTATGATGATAAGATTTTATTGGAAAAAAACCAATATTTATTTTTACCAGAATTTGTGAACTGCAGTACACTTTATGTTGGCAACCCTCTTTAAAATTTCATAGGTATAATTTACTTTTTTGTTACAAAATGTAACATTTTTTTTAAAAATGTATAAGCCAGGGATGCACCCGGCAAAATTTTTGTCCGGGTTCGGTTCGGGGAAATATTTTTGAACCCGGGGTTGGATCGGGGTTAAGCTCGGGTTTAACAATTTTTGAATTGATTAAAAAAAATTATATATTTAAATCATAAAAAACTAGACATAAATTTGGGCATAAAAGATAAATTTTTTATTTTATTTATAGGAAAATATAGTTTAAAATACAAATCACAGTCATGTATCAATTTTAAAAATTTAATGACATATTTCCTTAAATTAACAATATCCAATATAATAATTTTTACTTTGACTTGTTCAATTTCATTTTTCTCTTAATAATCATTGAGAATAAGTTAAAAATTAAAAATAAATGGCCTAAATGAATTTAATTGTTTAAAATTTATTAACACTCTATTAGGAAACTTTGAAAATAAATTAAATAAATTTAAAAAATGGTGTATATGAATTAAGTTGCTTAAAATTTATAAACACTTCACTTAATTGAAAATTTGAAAATATAAAATCTCAATTAAATTACAAATATTTGTATTTACACAAATATCTTAATATATGATTTCAAACAATACACTGAACCCGGTTGAACCCGGATTCAAATAAAATTCAGGGGTTCGGTTCGAGGTTTTGAAAATTTTATAAACGGGGTTCAGATTCGGTTTGGGTTCAGATTTTTTTCCCAAAAACCCGGGATTTCTTCTCCGGGTTCGGGTTCGGTTCGAATCCCTGGTATAAAAAATAAAATAAATATTTTAACAAAAATTTATATATTTTTTTAACGCGATTTCATTTTCGCAAAATTATTCACAAAGTTTTCAATATCTATAATATCTAATAATTTAAGTAAGTCGTTTTCGATAAAATAAATGGGGGGGGGGGGGTGGTTACAAAACAAATAAACAACAGAATAGCAGGCTAATTAAATTAAAATATTTTTAGATTATAATAAGGAATTTTTTTTCCGATCCGCGGGCCAGACTCTGCAAATTTTCTAGTAACAATAGCCCCCTTTAAAAAAATGTTTGCAATAGCTCCTCCATTTTAAAATTTGGTAGCAATAGAAATCTAATGATTATAGCTACTATGTTTCATCTAGCTTGTTTGTATTGATGAATCGCTTCACTCCAGTGGACTCAGCCTTGGAACGCGAGCTGAAAAAATCTGTTTAACACTTGAGTGCCAAAAAAATTTGTTCAGCCTTGGAGTACGAGCCGTAATAATCGAATAAACCTTGGAATGTTAACCGAAAAAGGCTCAGCCTTGGAGCTTATACCGAAAAAAATTTCCTCAGCTTTGGAGTGTAAGTCGAAAAAATCGCCTCAATTTTGTAGTGTTTACCTTTTTTTAATTAAAAATTTCTAATTTCATTTTTTTGTTTCTATTTAATTTTGAGGCATTTATATAGTTTTTACTAATTCTAAAGAATTAGAGCATGGAACGAAATTATTTATATTAGTATTTTTCTTAGCCCTCAAAAAATTTATCATTCTTTTTTGCTATTTACATATTTTAAATTAGGGGAAACATGAATGGCCCTGTTTTTGCTTTTTTGAAAAAAAAGGTATTAAGAATTGGGTTTAACCAAGCAAATTTTATATCAATGTATAGCCTAATTATTAATCTATAAAATAAAATTTAAATCAAAGCTCTATAATAGTTTATGAGCTATATAAGTTTATGTGAAAGTTGTTGCCATACACTATGCGTTAACTGGCCATAATATTTTATTTAAGAATTTTATTATAAATATAAAATACAATATGAAATACTTGTAAAAGACCTATGTATGTTAATATTTCTATTTTTTAGTTATATAAAAAATTAATTAAAAACTAATTTAATTAGTATTAATATCTCAATTTATCATAGTCTATTTAATGATAATATAAATTAATATCTTAATTATCTTTTTGCTAAATATTATTAAGTTTGTTCATCACTTAAAATTTCACCAAATGTTGTTTTGCATGAGTTTTTCATTTATATGTGAATATGCGAACTGTGGCCAATCAATACATGGCCATAAAATACTCACCTCTATTATTATTAAGTGCCTTTATATGTCTATTAAATAAAATGTTTTAAGTCTAATTTTTTGTGTGAATAATGCTAAATGCCTAAGGATAATATTTATATAAAATATCAGTAATCTAAATTAGTAATTTTTTCACCAAACAAAAAAAAATATGTAATGTAATTTTTCCAGTAAGAGGTACTAAAAACAAAATATTTTTTTATTAGATTGCCCTACTCAATAAATGTTAGGTAGGGTCCATATCAAAAATATACACATTATGACCAATTTTGATAGAAATCGGTCCAATAGATAAAAGATTTAAGGGTGGTGGCCAGTCTTCAGGCATGGCCATTTATAGCACATTTCCTCTACATAAGATTGGAGATATAATCCTCATTTAGCACTATACAAAATGATACAAGTCTGCCATCATCATCTCCACAATTTAATTCTTTACATTATTAACTTTAAAAGCGTTCACCTAGAAATAAAATATTCTTAAAATATTACTCATTAAAAATTCAATGTACTAAATACAAATTCTTGTGATTGTGGTTTCCAACAAAGATATCTTTTACCTTGCAAACATTTGTGTATTGATGTGATATTAATGACTTTTGTAGAGAGGAAAGTGATACAAATTTTGATATAAAAATTGTTTCGAAAAATATTAGAAATCAATGCAAATTAATTAATAAGGAAATATATAAAATCAGGGATTCAAACCGAACCCGGAGAAGAAAACCCGAGTTTTTGGGAAAAATCTGAACCTGAACCGCGGTTTATAAAATTTCAAAACCTCAAGCAAAACTCGGGATTTTTATTTGAACCCGGGTTCCGGGTTAAGTATATTGTTTAAAATTATATATTAAGATATTTGTAAAATTGTAAATAATATTTTTAAATTTCCAATTAAGTGAAGTGTTAATAAATTTTAAACAACCTAATTCATTTATGCCATTTTAAATTTTTTTAAAATTTATTCTCAAAGATTCCAATTATAGTTTTAATAATTAAATTCATTTACGTCATTTATTTTAAATTTTTAACTTATTCTCAAAGATGATTAATTAAGGAAAATGAAAGTGAACTTGAATATTGTTAATTTAAAGAAACACGACTAAATTAAATTTTTAAAATTGATACATGACTACGCTTAGTATTTTTAACTATATTTTGCCTATAAATAAAATAAAAAATTAATTTTTTATACCAAATTTATGTCTAGATTTTTAATTATGAATTAAATATATAATTTTTTTTATCAATTCAAAAATTCTTAAACCCGGAACCAAACCCGGGTTCAAAAATATTTTTCTGAACAGAACCAAACCCCCCCCCCCCTCTTCCCCCCCAATATTTTTTTACCTTAACCGAACCCGGGCAAAATTTTTGCCGGGTTCGCATCCTTGTATAAAATGTTACAAGAGTATTTTTCAAAGTATATAGTTTTATTAAAGAGCTGCCAGTTGATTTGATATGTTACGCTATCAGGAATATGATTTTTTTAAAAAATAAGTTTAATTTAGGAGGAGTATGTATTAAATTTTTTATAAAAATATGTATCATCAGGGATGCGAACCCGGCATTTTTGCCCCGATTCGGTTCGGGATTCAGGGAAATATTTTTAAACCCAGGTTTTGTTCTGGGTTCAGCTCGGGTTTAAGAATTTTTGAATTGATAAAAAAAATTATTCTATATTTAAATCATAATTAAAAAACTACACATAAATTTGGTATAAAAAATAAATTTTTTATTTTATTTATAGGCAAAATATAGTTAAAAATACAAAGCAGAGTCATGTATAGATTTAAAAAAATTTTCTAGTCATATTTCTTTAAATTAATAATATCCAATATAATGATTTTTACTTTGACTTGTTCACTTTCATTTTCCTCTTATAAATAATCTTTGAGTATAAGTTAAAAATTAAAAATAAATGGCGTAAATGAATTTATTTTTTTTAAATTTATTAACAATCCAATAGGAATCTTTGAGAATAAATTTAAAAAAATTTAAAAATGGAGTAAATGAATAAGTTGTTTAAAATTTATTAACACTTCATTTATTGGAAATTTGAAAATATTATAAAATGTCAAGTAAATTATTAATATTTGTATTTACAATTATACAAATATCTTATATTAATTTAAATAATAAACTGAACCCGGGTTCAAATAAAATTCCCGGGTTCGGTTCCAGGTCTTAAAAATTTTAAAGACGGGATTCAGGTTCGGTTCGGATTTTTTTCCCAAAAACTCGGGTTTTCTTCTTCAGGTTTGGGTTCGGTTCGAACCCCTGTCTATCTTGATACCATTGGTTGAGAAAAAAGAATACAAGTGAGCAATTTTCATAGTCTTAGTTTCTCAAATATTTTCAGGAGTATCATTCTACTTAATTTTTAACTATAAATTGATACTCTTATCAAAATATAGTCAACATTACCTTCACAGTTACACGATCGATCGGCCTAGCTTCGCCACGTTACCTCCTTTAACATGTTCCAACCATCTCAAACTATTCTCATCACAACACGAATAGCTTATATTCCAATCCTTTCCTACATATTTTGTGTTTATCACTCACAACCCACCTAATCATTCTCATCATTATTCTTTCCAATTTGGCTTATTGTATTTCCTTCATGCCTGTCTTCGCAAACTATACTCTCATGGTAATAAGCGCTTTCCTTTAACGTCACCGACATCTTTATTCGTTAAAACTTCTTCCATGAATCTTGCCAGTCAAAACTTCTCAACACTCTCAAAATTAACTCAATCATATTTAACTTTAAATGTTATACCTACTCTCTGCAGATTTTATTTCCCAATTTTTATGTTTTGGGTAATTATAATTTAATTTATCTGAAATGGATGAATGATAAAAATTTAAATTTTATTATTTTTCATAATTTAATTTAAATTTTAATATTAAGTTTTCAGGCAATTTGTCCTGTTATGTTAATTATGAATTTTCTAGGAAAATAGATCATTTTTATGACAAAAATTCACAATTTTCTTATCTTTATAATTTGTTTTAACTTGCCTAATTATTTATTTTCTAAAAATTTAATTCCACCTTGTTGTGATGAATATCATTATTTAAATTTTTAAATAATAAGAGATTTAAAATTTAATTTTAACGTTACACTTTTGCCACGTGTAATAAAATAATTTGTGATCGCCAAAATTTTTTTTTTATTTATCGTTTGAGAATTTTTGCTTAAAGTTTTATTATTTTTTTTCAAACAATTACAAAACTAATATTTAATTAAGATAACGGTAGCTTGCTTCTTTTACAAAATGATCATTCAATTTAAAAAGAATTTTATCATTGTTTGTTTAAAAGTTATATGTACATATAAATTTATTATATCATTTAAGTCTTTTAAAAAATTAAAATATATGATTATTACATTACAATTTACTAGCCAATACAATATACTCACACTTTTAACAAAACCTTTTTGAAAAAAAAAATAAAAAATATATAATAAAAAACTTTTATTTATTTTTTATACCCAAATCCAATCATGATCATGATTTACAAAATAATTAGTTAATTATATGATACAATTTTTAATAATATATAAAATTAAATTACATACACATAATATTATTTATTATTATTATAAGAAGAAGACTAAATTCATTTTAAGAGCATTGCGCGGACTAAAGGAAAATAAATTTATTTTATGCACCCCCACTCAGGAAACAAAATTCAATGGTGGATTTTTAAAAAAAAATTAATAGAAAAGAGTATTAATGCTTGATATCAAAACAAAATTGAGCCAGAAATCATTATAATGAATATTTGGTGTGAGTGGACTTTTCTACTCCATGGAGGGTTGGCGCGTATGAAACATTATAATAAAATGTAATTATTTAAAGCCGATGGCGGGTTATGCTTTCGGTCAATAATAGTAATAAAAAAACAAAATTTTATACAATAAAAAATTATATTAAAAATAAGTATATATATATACAAGTTTTTTTAATCGGTACTTATTAAAAAAAATTGAGCAATTTATTTTCCGTTTTTATGAAATTTTAAACGTTAGTTTTGGTTTTACATATAAGTTATAGTAACCCGATTTATAATATTTCCTAACCCCTCATTCATAATTATCGCGAATTCCCGAGCGAATTATAAAAAATATGTTGTTTTTTATTCTCACTCGCGAATTCGCGCTAATTGTGAACGAGGGGTTGCCCTGCATTCATAGTTAGCATAAATTTGCGGTGAAATAAACAAATGCTGCATTTCTGTGTATTATGTATACTTCACCGCGAATTCGCACTAACTATGGGTGCATGGCAATGGAACCAAAATTGGGATTAAAAAATGGGTTATACTGTATTTTTTTTTTATTATATAATATATCTATATCTATTTATTTGATTTTATTACAAAAAAACTGAAGATTTTTACAGAATTATAAAAGTTATGTGCTATTATAGGGAGATCTATTCAATTTTCTTTTACTAAAAAAATATATATAAAGATGAAAGAGATTGTCATAAGCAAGAATAATAATAATCTAACGAGAAAGATCTAGAATATCACAGAAAATTTTAAGAGCATAACTATTTATCATTTACAATTTTGTATAAAAAATTTTTTTTCTAGTATAATATATAATATATAATATTATCGTTATTGTATTATTATCGATATAAAATTATTTAGTTTTTTTTTCTAAATTACCCTGGTTAATTTTGTACATTTATATTTTGTAAAGGACATTAACACTAAGTCTAAATCTAAGTAAAACACAACGTGAAATTTCAAAAAAAAAATAATCACACTCATCATTAGGTTTAGCATTGAGTCCACTTATAAATACTTTATTCCTTAGGAACAAGAGCATTGTTCTACAACCATTCCACCGACCACGCCGTACATAATCGAATTATCTTCTTTGAAGTAAAGTAATGACATGGCCGAAATTTTGGAAGGACTACAGCAAGCGCTAAGAGAGGTAGCCAACCTGTACAAGTAAGTGTGAGCGCTTTGGTGTAAAAAAGTCATGGGACAATCTCCGAAACAATAATTGATTGCCGCTTGCTTTGGAGCCACTATGAAATCCCAATTAAAGTCGGCGAAATTTATGACTAGCGGGTACCTGCAACATCTCTCTTCCGGATTTTCTTCAGTGCATTGAAGATTTAGACTTCTTTTTTTCCTAAATAAATTGGGCTTGGGTGACAACGTAAGATCCAAAATTGGCCTCTTAATAAATAGAGCAAAAAATAAAGTAACCAAGTGCATTATTATAAACGAAATGAATGTATAAAAAAATCCAGAGTTTGGAACTCGGTATACGAATGAGGTTCGGTTCTTAGATTTGGCGAGGTTCTAGGCTCTGTTTCCACAACTCTTACGAAATCTTGCCATTGCGATAATATTATATACTTATGAACTTTAAAAAAATGATAAGGTTCATTAGTAAGGCGATAGTTTAATGGGTTTTCCCGACATGCATAGTTGGTTTTGCATTTTTAACATTAATTGAGCTTGCTTTATTAAACTTAAAGAACTGATTTTGCCAGAAATGCATAACAATATGTGTAGAATACCCACCCTATAAATTCAGACAATTTTATGACCAATCTATAGAGAAACCATAAATTATATTAAATTTACCATATTTTTAATGTAAATATTTCCGCCAAAATCAGATTTTTAAATTTAAAATAACGCGCTCAATTATAAAATGCAAAAAATAAAACAATACCAATCAAAAGCCTCCATATCGCAGGGATTAGTTCATTATTAGGGGCTACGCCATACCATTTTGTCTATACTAATTAGTTTATCTTAAAAAAATATACATATGCCTCTTCTTGTTTCGACATGGGCTTGGTAGTGATGATATTCTTTCCTAAACAGTTTTTAGCTACGAGAACGAATCCTAGGTTCGAATAAGGGCTTTCAATCCATGATTCAACTAGCATTTTTATATCTATCGATACCCATTTGTTAAGGTGGCGTATCTCTTTACCGCTTATCAATCTTAATTTGAGATCGTCGGGCGTTGAGTTTTTGAACGTTTCTCTCATTACCTGAAAAACGTGCAACATGGGAGATATATTCCTGCATTTAACTTTATCATAGTCGGAAGCATATATCCAAAGATTGGCACTCTTGATATTGTTTTCGTAAACTGTTTTGTCCAAATCGAAGTATATTCTATTAGAAATAATATTTGAATCTTCACGGTGACGTTTGTATCTTTCGACATCTGATTAAGAATAATAAAATAGGATTGACTTCCTAGGTTCATAAGTAACATGGTAATAATCTTACCTCTATTAAGGATATCAAGATTAGAATTAATTTATCAGTTTAAAATACTAAAAAAATAATAATTCATAAATCCTATATTATTACTATATAATCATTTTTACTGTGAATCATTTGAGCATTGTATGTATAATGCAGTGCGAAGAAGGGGGGGGGGGTAAAGATTGCATTCGACACAATTAAGTTTAATTAAAATACCACTAAAATATGTTACATTTTAGTAAAAATTTTGGGACGCCATTTAAGAAAAACATGATTGATCAGTTGTAAACACAGAGGTAATACATTAATTTAACCTCTAATAATCAAGCGGCCAACGAGAAACATGTTACTTATCAATAAAGTTAGATCAAGTAAGAGTTGATCAGGCAGGGCCATTGCTAAAAAAAATCATTATCGTTTTATGCAATCAATAGGCAAATAAAAGTCAATTGTAATTTTTTTAAAAAAAAATGAGTGAATTTTATCGAAAAGTTGAATATTTCTTTATATTCTAAAACAGGGAATTAATTTTAAGAGAAAAATCCTTTAGGGTCAAGTTAGGACACAAAAAATATATAAAGAATTTCTTCTTCTCTTTATCAAATAAAGATGGCAATTAGAAATTATTCTAGGATTAGGACAAAGTAATTTAGAGATTAGGTTATATTTTTCATATATCCGGACTAAGCCGAGCTTGGGCCTAAAAATAAATTAAGCAAATGGGATTATTAGCCAGGTCTCTCTCGGGATTTAAAAATTAATACCCACCCCCTCCCTTTCAAATGAATTGCTGACATCTACGAACTTTTTATTTATTTTTAGGCTTGAGTTCGACCCGATCCTCGAAAAAGTGTACGAACCCAGCCTGACATTTTTATTTTAGATCCTAGCCCGACTTCGGGCCAACTTGTAGTTTAATATTAGAGAATACAATTAATTTTAGCCTAGATATAACTGTATTTACACTAAATATGAAAATTTACAAAAAAAAATGATATATAACTAATTTCCCCCAAGTGTAGTGAAAATTCAAGATTAAGAGACTACAAAAAAAGGATAAAACTAAAAAAATAATGTTTATTATTTATTTCTTAATGATTTTGTCCACTTAAAATATTTGCCTATGTGATTTGTAAACTTTTCCTAAATATTATGATTACGCTTTTCTATCGAAATCCAATTTTCTATTTATTATCAATATCCTGCCTATATCAATCATGAATTTTGATTTTGTATTAATGTTGCGAGTAATTCATCATATTTTTTTTGTGATAGTATTATGGCGAATTTGTTTATAACATTAAATTTTTTCTAAACCTTATAATAATGCAAACGTTGGCACATTATACTGGAAATTTATTTTTTTTAATTAAAAATTATCTTAATTTTAATAAGGGACCGCACATTTAAAAAGATCAAATCTGAGTAAACATTGTAATTAGATCGATAATACTCCTATCATTATTATATACTATCTATAACAGGAGCATGGCCATGGGGAGGGGGATTTGCCTGTACTAGTAAGTTAAGCTAATAAAAATGTCCTCCCAACATATCCCCTCTTCCCAAAGTTAATTTTGTAAAATAACGACTATAATTCAAAATTTTTGAAAAAAAATCATTTTTATAAAAAAATAAGTGAAAACTCAAAATTATTTTTATAAAAATATAATATATCTAAAGGCCTTCAATAAGTGGACCTAAAGGCTGCCAATAGTCTAATTGTGTTCCCTTCCCTATAAGAAAATCATGGATACGCCAACCATGGTCATGGATGGTATGAGATTGAAGAGTCGATACTCTAGAGTATTATCAATTACCCTTTTCTTATAATCAGCGTGGGCATGCTATCCATCTAAAAGAAATGAGAGGAGTTTATTTATATGTCAATGAAACATTTTATAGCATCACAATCTAAGTGACATCGTTAACTTGAGACGACGAGAACAGTGCCAATGTAAGATAGTTGGAGACAGGTTATGTCTTATCACCATGTTATTAACCTCAGAAAATTTAACGGGTTAAAAATAAATAAATAAATTATGAGTTAAGCAACGGTCTAAAAATTCAGATATTCAAATATGTCTTAAAAATATATAAACAAGATCATCAAGAGGGAACCCTTCCCCTGTAGGCAATATTGATTAAGACTACTTAATATTTTTGTATTATATTCTAGATTAGACACCTGAATAGAAATTTTTTCAGCCTATGCTCGCCCGTGGTCAGTTGGTTCAGATAATAAGAGTAGGAAGGAAATACAACAAATAATTCTACCAGGCCTACATTGTTAATGATGTCATCGTTAATCCGGCACTGCTATATTTTATTGTATACTTTCTACGAGGATCGAGATCTTATTTTTGACAATATTATTCACAATTTTTAATCTTATCTCCTTGACTACGCAATTAAAATTATATTCAAGAGCACAAACAAAATATGGGACCGAAAAATAAGGCCAAATTTGTCCATTTTATTAAATCCATAAGTGAGGTGACTCTCAGAATATATATGAACGGGTGAGTCGATTTTAAAAAAATAATAAGCCCCTGAAATAAAATAAATTTGCAAATTTTTTTTTATCGGTCGCTAATTTTAAAATAGTGAATAACATTTGGCCCAGCTTGTCAAGGGTTCCTTTTAAAGAGTTCGGACGAAGAAAGTTTTAATGAGAGGGCCGGCCATCAGCACCCATCAAATTTTAAGGAATTCTAGAGAGAGAGAGCGCTAAATTATCTTTAAATTTTCAGTAGAACTGCGTGTCCTGCAACATGCCCCTTCAGGGTCGTCTTATTTCTAAACAGTAGTCTGTTTAGCCAGCTATAAGTAGGGACTGTGACTGTTTTCCATACCAAAATATTTATTCAATGTAAATACTTAAAACACACCAAAAATAAGGTGTCCTAGTTCAATTCCTTTGGTCTGGGATAAACAGAAATAAGTTTCAAGAATAAGAACGAACTAATACACGGCTTGAGCAATGCTAATATATAATAATAATTAATTATCGAAGACTATAAAAAGATAGATTTAATACAGAATAAATTTGACCGAACGTAAAAAAGGTAATTGAAAAATTTAAATTTAAGGGATCCTTTGTGAGGATATTTTTAGAAACATATATTTTTTATTTAAATAAAATTTTTTTTTTATTAAAGGTTGATTGTCCGGTGAATTAAGAATGACAATTTATAAAAAATATGAAAAGGAAATTAAGACATCATAATAATTCCAATTATTTACCTTCATTTTTATTTTGGTATACGATTATTATATTATTATCCATCTCTGTTTTTTATGTTTTTTTTTTAAAAAAAACTTAAAGAAAAGCCTTAAAGATATTTCAAATTATTATATCTTTATTTTTTCCTTGCCCATTTTTTTAAAATACATTTTTAAAATATGAATGAATGTTTAAAATATTAATCTCTTCTTCTTTTTTTTTTCATGTAGGTAGGTAACAAAAATTATTACCGTAAACTACTTTTTAGGAATTTGTGTACCAAAGTTTTTAATCTAACTCTTACTATTATTTAGGCGCTCCTCTATTTTTTAATTTAAATTTCCAATCAATGGACATAAGGGGTTAAAATATAATTGGTATAAGAAAATTCGGAACACTTACAATTCTTGGAAATAAGCATCAATTTTTTCGGAATAATATTGGGCGCATCCTCATACTCAAATCCTTGGTTGTACTCATCTGGTACCTCGCTGATATCGTTTTGCATAGTTTTAAAACCTTTGATTAAATCGTTGAGAGGTGGAAGATTTGGTAGAGTTTTGTTGATATTCGGTACCTTTTCCAAACCCAGCTGTTTCAGAATTTTTTCCTTAATCAGCGATATCCTGTGGTTAATAGCGACTTGACGCCTGTAACACCTAGGACATGCATTGGTCGAAGGTAAGCTACGATTATAGGTTGAATTGCCCTGTGTGTACAATTCTGAAATTCCGGTGTAATCATTTAAGTTCACCAGGTTACTCAATTCCTTGCTGCTTTCAGCCTTTCTACTGTTTAGCGGTGCCAAAATCTTTTTGGCCTCAGAGTATATTAGATTGTCGATTTGAGCGTGACACCCTAAGGTCAACCACGATATAAATATAATTATGGCGGATATTAATTTGGACACGCGAAGTATGCTAATAAAATTCGTAATCGATGCGATATGTTTGAAAACGATGGAGGAAAGGACGGTTTTATGACGATACGGAACAACGTGATAATTGCCCTGGGATAAAGAATAGTTTAGCTCGGAAATGATTTCTGATTGGGAATTCTTTGTTTTCGTATTTAAATGTTTGTTATACTCGTTCAACAATGGATTCTCGGACCCCTCAATTGGACGAAACGATTTATCAGCATTTGTATAATGGATAATTCCCTCCGAGGATGGCGAAGATTCGTAACTAAGTTCAGAGGGAAGTGGTTTTATTATGAAACGCGGAGTTGTAATATTTATTAGACTGGAGTCTGTCAAACATGTTACTTTTCGAGGGCATCGACTAGACCTCGTATTTTTGTGCGGTTTAGAGACGTATGACAGATTAGAATATATTCGCTCAGAATCTTCCATATAATGCATTTAATAACTAAACTAAACAAAAGTTGGGAAAATGAAAATTGAATTATTTTTTTTCTACCAATTTGAAATTTGTTTTTAAGAAATTTAAAAAGTAAAATAATATTTTTCAACGACAATTATTACACTTCTTTTTTCCATGTTTAAAATAATATTATAAATTTTATTTCTAAAAAATAATAAATCTTGATATAATTATAATTATCCACATAAATTATATTTTTTTGGAATGATAAAATATATTTTATTTTATCATTTACATAAATTTATTTATTTTTTTTTCCGCTAATTTTTAATAATAATATTTATAATATTTTTTTTTAAAATTTATATTTAGGTAGGGGCAGGAAAGTAGAAAATATCATATATTTCTAATAAATATTTTTTTTTTACAAATACCTGGTAGGTGGAATAGGTAAAAAAAAAGGAATATGAATTTCTGAAAAACAATATTTTTTTTTTTGAAAAAAAATTATAAATTTACTAAGAAAAGGATTTCCTTAATTTTTTAAAAATTATTATTTATAAAATTAAAAAAATTTTTTAAATTTTTTTAAAAAAAAATGTATATAAATAAATTACCCCTTAACCCTTCCCCAATTATGTATTTTCTCAATATAATATAATACCTTTACTGACCAACGTCTACCTATGGATTTATTTTTTTAATTTTATAAATATTTTTTTATAATAAATATGCAATATATTTTATTAATAATATAAACATTCACATCATTTCAACTGCTATCATTTTGCTAATTTCTGATTGGTAAATTTCATTTTTTATTCTTTATAGGATTTAGGTTTTAGTTTATGATCTATATGGTTCTGGATTAAATCACAAAAAATAGGGGTTTATTTTTGAAGTTCAACAAATATTATTCAATACCATCCTTCCATTTTTTCAGGGTTTCGAAACTAACCGCGAAACCGAAATAGACCGTTATAAGTAAAGTTTGAAAGGACAGAACCAAACGATTATATTTCAAACTGGGTTTAAACCAATTCATAACGGGCTAACCCGGTTCATAACATTTTTTGAAATTTTATTTATTTTAGAATATTAAAATAGTTGCTACAAAATTATAACAATTTATATGATAAAATAGGAACGCACAGATATAGGTTCAAAAACAGGAACAAACCGATATAAATCTGTTTAAAGGAATGGAAAAAAAACCGTTATTAATCGTTTCGACATCCCATATTTTTGGGGGTTCCTTCCTTTTTAAGTTTACTTTTATCCAAATCTAATTATTAAAAAAAATTTAGAAAATACTTAAAAAAAATTTTTTTAAATATAATTTCTTTAAATTATTTTTATGAAATAAATGCAGTGAATTTCTCGAAAGGGTGTTTGTGGTTTTATTTACTATTTAATATATAAATATTTGTTTATACTTTATTCAAATATTTGACTTCAATGACAATGTTTATAAAGTCTTAACTTTCATAATCTTAATGGCGTAACCTTTTTTTAGTGTGTGTGAATGTGATAATTATTGAATGAAATAGAGAAAAACAGCCTGCTGTTAGAACATATACATACAATTCCTACAATTCCTTTATCATTGAGTCACAAGGCTTCTTTTTATTGCATCTGCCAACTTTTTTTTAAACTAAATTTTATTATTTATTATTATGAATAAATATAAAATATGATAATTTTTTCTTCTTCTGAAAACAAAATTTTTATAATTCATAATCAAATAATATGGGTAAAATATATGTATACCCCTCTCTATTATACTATTTGTAACCCAAATTGTGATTTATTACTCAAAAAAATCTCCGCCCACTAGATTTAAAAAATTGATCATAAATGTCTAGAAATGATAGGATATGTCATGCTGTTTTAATGATTATCATTTTATTAATTTTACCTTTTATATACATTATTTATGAACACGATAATACTATGGTTAATAAATCATTCTCTAATAAAAAAAAAGAATTTGTTTTACCGTTGTGGTGCTGATGGTATTATGTATGTCTGCCTGATATATTGTTAACATCTATTAGCTGTTATTATATATTATTATGCCATGTTTTACCTATTTTACACCATTTATGATTATTTTTTTAAAAAAAATATTCTATTTTGTTTAAGAAAGAATAATAGTTAATTTGTCTTAAAATAAAAAGCAATGAAACTTTTGTGCATATTTGACGCAACAGGATGGATATTTTGAATGTGTCTTAAAATAATTAAGATTGTAAATACCGTCATTAATTATTAGTGAATATTTTATTTTATTATCGTTATTACAGCCCTCCCCTCTTTTACGCAAATTTGAATTAATAGATTAAACATTTTTAGAATTTTTAACATAGATTATAATATAAAGTAAAAAAATAAAAATGTGACGAGGTTTGCAAATAATTGAAATACCTCTCAAAGTTAGCTTATAAATTGTTATTTAAGTTATTAAATAATTTGTCTAAACTTATAAACTTTGGTTTTAAATAAAAAAAATATTTGGTTGTTTAAAATGTATATTTTTAAAAGCTTTAACTACTAATTTATTTATAATTCTTTAAAGGTTAGGGAGAGCTCCCATAAAATATTAAAAATTTTATTATTTTTTGTGTTTTGGTTTCCATTTCTTGAATAAATTTTAAGTTTTGTAAAATTTTTAATGAAATTAAAGATCGATAATCACGTATTATTCCCGGATAGTAAAGTGAATATCAAATATTATCCACATACTTATATATTTTAAATTTTTATTGTTTGTTGATCTATTTTTTAATTGTGATAATCAGGCAAAAAAAAGAAGGATAGAATAGGAAATATTAATATTTTTAGCCTGCCATGCAGAACTCTAAGAAGAAACTATAAATGGAAAATTATGAGCTTATAATAGTTAAAGATATTTATTAATTTTATTGGATGAATGTACAGACGATATTTATAATTAATAAATATTTATGGAAGATTTAATTCATCATCTGAAAATATTGAAAAGACAGGAATACTTTAAACCTGTTTTTAGATTTGGTTCAAACATTATATTTTTAAAAATTATAGGGTTGAAAAATAATAACTGCAGGAATTCCTTTCGGAATAATTACAAGAAAAAGGAACAATCCTTATGCCATTCTAAATATTACATTTTAAAAGATAAGTTTTTATATTTTATATAATATTCAATTTAATTTATATATAATTAAACAACTAGTGAAGGAATTTTCAGTGCCCTTCCCTTTATTGGATAATAAGGTTTTCTTACCTACCTTGTGAGAAAAAAACAGGCGTGATTATGCGAGGACGTGCTTTCACCTCAGGACAGGTCGTAAATGAATATATATATTTGATAAAACCAATACCAAACGAATTAATAATATTTAAAAAAATTGTCTGTTTCTTATTTTATCACATAATTTTATTAATAAATATTTTTAATGATGTCCAGAGACGCCGTTGTTTATAAAGGTTCTGGTCTGGTAACAGTTCAGTAGCAAAAAATTCAGAAAGTCATGGCTATGTCACGGTTTAGTTGGTTAAAATTTAAAAGATTCCTGTTCGGTTATGGGAAATATTGTAAAAGTTTTTTTCGGTTTTAAAATTTTGTAATATTTATATCAAAGGCGTCCAAAATAAAAATATAGAAAGATACACAAAAACGTGAATTAATTTTATTGAAGAAATCTACAATACAAGTGATAAAACAAATTATAAATAAATAAGTATCAGTAGAAACGTTTTAAAGTTCGCACTTTTAAATTAAATATGATTTGATAATTTGTAAATTTTAGTCAGCTAGGTGAGACCGGGGTACTTGGAATACAGGGGAACGTTAGATCATTTCAATTATAATTTGAGCTATTATTTAATGAGACTAGAAATTTTAACCTAACATAGATAGTTTTGTCATACATGATTGACTAAAAAAGATTTGAAAAATATTTAGTATTTTAATTTTTACAGAAGAAAATGTGTTTTACCAAAAGTAATAAATAACAATTGCAAACTTTATCGTTTATATTTATAAATAAAACTTTTAATCTTAATAAATAAATTTAGGGAAGTTAAAACCATATTTTTTAATTTGAAAAATTTTCAGAATCAATAAACAGGATTTAATATGTTTGAATGATATTTTGATAGTATAGTTGGGAGGGGACACACCATTTTTGTTATATAATGTATTACAATATTATCAATAAAACTTAAAATTTTATTAAAATTTAATCATTCATAGTCCTACATCGGAACACCGGATAAAGCAAGATCAATTAAATTAAAATTTCTTACAATCGTTAATTATTAATACAGTATAAATCTTATAATTATTTATAAAACATTAATTTAGGTGCAAATGGAGAATAAAAATTATCAAGCAGTATTCATTTTCCAGCTAACGATGAGAATCAAAACAAGGATTATTTTAGAGATGAAGATGAAGGTTGTATAATAAATAATCTTAGTGGTATCTAATTATAATAACAACCACGGAGTTTGAATTACAAGGGAAAGGGATTATGTTAATGATCAAAAACCAAAAACGAAAACAATTATAAGCTGGAGATCAAATGATTTATATAATTTTCCTATATTTATCTTACTTATCCAATAGAATATTTTACAGTTAATTTTATTTATTGAAATACGAAGGAAGATGTCAAAATTTTCAAATAGAGTTACTATTATATCAGAAAGTTATATCGATATGCATTCCGTAAAAATAATAATAATTGAGAGGGGAATATAAAAAATGTGGTATGAATCTCCATGAAACTTTTTTTTAAAATATATCATATTATTATATTTAATTTACATTTCAGGTTTTATCACTGGGTTCCGATAAAGGAAAAATTTTCTAGAGAAATTTTTTTTTTATAAAATGAGATTCCCTTTTATTATTTACACAACAATTTTAAAAAAATGAACTCGGAAAGTTTACTAATCGGAGAAAATCAGCAAAAAATTCTTATTTTTCATTATTTTTTTTTAACTTGATTGGAAAAAATGGTAAGTATTTCAGAATATTTGTTAAAATATTCACCTTTAATGGCATAAAGGCACATTTTTATAATTTATGT